TCTTGTGGCAGTGATCAGAAAAAATTGTATGCAGTTAGAATGAACTGTTGAGCCAGAGTTCAGGAACTATGCCTTCTTCCTTTTCTGATGCTCGACTTGCCTCAGATTTTTCCTTGTATTTGATGACAAATATATCACATATGGTGTTTCTTTAAATGAGAAATTTTCAGTTGAATTTCGACTGAGTTATGCCATTGTTTCATTATTTTGTCCTGTAGGGGTGAACAACATTCTGCATTATATCAAGGACTCGAAGAAGACTTTTTATCTTGATCTTGTAAATGTATTTAAGGGTGCATCTTCACTTGAGCATTTTAGCCCGAACGAACCAAAGGAGCAGACAATGCACGAACGAACTGAACGAGCAGTTCAAGTGCAAGCTCTCTGTATTCTGCTTGTTCGACGGTGCTCGTCTTATTCCCACCGTTTTCTTCAGTTGAACCATGGATCTCACAGTGGCAGCAGGTGCATTCTTCATTATTTACTCCTTAGCCAAAAGGAAGAAGAAATGTAGGAGTGTGGTTAGGCGATTACTTTCTGGACGGAAAAATATGTCCCTGTTGAGTGAATTGGATCATGGCCATTTGAAAAACTGAACTCGAATGACCCCTTTTCCCTCCTGAAGCTGGCAAGCATGATTCCCATTTTCTTCTTCCCTTCTCCCAGGGAACATTCCATAATTTGTGCAATGCTCACTCAGCAATCATGCTTAACTTTATTGTAGTACAAGCCATGTTGGGGATTCCACAGCTCAGGATGCTTCTCATATTCATCCAGTTGGGTTAAACATTTCTCCCCGTCCCACCCCATAACATACCGAATAGCTGGAACAGCACGAATACCCATCCTGACTGTGCGCCAACATGCAACTGAATCCTTTTGAGCACGCACCATCTACCGACAAACAATGGAAAACGTTTGGCACGCTCGTTTCTTCTCGGAGACACGTCCTTACTAGCCAATTTCTGTTCGGTGTGTTTTGCTCGTTTGTGCTAAAATGCTCAAGTGAAGATGCACCCTAGGTACCACTCACTTATGAACATGCAGCAGACTTTATTTGTAGAATCATAAATGAATGTTTTGCAGAGGGCAATTTTGTGCGATCTGAGACACAGGCTTTATTACATTCACTTTTTAAGAAACCTGACATTGTTATTGAAAATACTGGACCGTATGCTGAATTATTGTCTGGTTTTCAGTCTGTCATTCTTATCAAAGATCATAGAGCATGCAATGCTGGATCAGTTACTTCCTCTGTTAGAAAGAAATGGGGTGATCCCTCTGGTCCAGTCAAAATTTAGGAAGCATCATACAACTGAATCTGCCCTATGTAAAATTCATAACTATTTGGTAATAAACAATGGCATAGGAAAGTCCTCTCTTTTGGTCTTGCCAGATCTCTCTACAGCTTTTGACATGGTGGATCATCATCTGTTGCTTCAAGATCTTTGGTGTCCATGAGAATGCACTCTCACTGCTTCAGTCTTATTTGTCAGAGCGATCTGACAGGGATCAGTTTTGAGACCACTACTGTTTACAGTCTATACCAGTATTCTTGCATCTCTGCTAGATGCTCATGGTAATGCCTATCATTTCTATGCCAATGATACACAGTTTTATGTAAAAATAATAAATGTTGGGGATATTGAGGAGATAATGAAATCCTTGATGTCTGATATTAACATTTAGATGACTAAGAGAAAACTTAGCCTAATGATGGCAAAACAGAATATCGTCCTCCAAGGAAATGGGAGGGGTGACAGCACATGATTTTGGCCCTTTTAAACTTTGGGGAAGAACAACTCGGTCCTGTCGATTCTGTTTGTAATCTTGGAGTGTACTTTGAGTAAAAAAAAAAAAAAAAAATTCAGAGCAAATAAATTCAGAAGTTAAGAGTTGCAATTTTCATATTCGAAATCTATATGCTGTTATACAGTTTTTGGATAGACAGTGTCTTCTGACACTATTGCATTCATTTATTTTGTCTCAGGTTGACTATTGTAACTTTATTGGTCTACCTACCCAATTATCTGCTAAAGAAAGTTCAGAGTGTTGAACAGAGTTGCCAGGCTTATTTTCGCTCTCCCAGGGAGGACTCCCACTATCCCTTTCTTGATCGAATTACATTGGCTTCCAATTAAAGCGAGGATAGAGGAATGACTTTTATGGCACTAATATTTAGTGAGCCTAAGTATTTGGCCACCTTAATAATGCCACTGCCTACACATTCTAAAATGATTTGGGTAGTAGTGATAATCCTTCATGCCTTAAGGAGCCTGGAGCAGTATGGGAGCCCGATCCTTTTCTATACAGCAACCAGATTGTACAATGGGTTGTCTGCCTCCATGAAAGCTTTTGATCCTGAAGGTGATGGAGAATTACAGGGTTTAGGAAGTATTAAAACTTAAGGGTACGCTATATGATTGATAGAAGTGGATATGTCACTTTTTGTGATCTTTTACTGCAGTACAGTACATTATTTCTTTATATTTTCGCATTTTTTACTATAGTGTTTCGAGCACTCATGAATTCTTTGGAAGAACTGGTGTTTTTGAGAAACAAAAGACCATCTATTATTATTATTATATTATTACTACTATTATTATTATATTACTATTATTATTATTATTATTATTATTATAATATTACTATTATTATTATTATTATTATATTGCTATTATTATTATTATATTAGTGTTTATTATTATTATTTATTATTATTATTATTATTATTATCATCACTTTCATTTTCACATCCATATTAATGACTTTTCTGGGCACCTTGGCTGGTTTACCAATACACTAACTTGTAGGCCATTCCCAGACACAATGTGCATAAAATGTTCACAAAACACATATAGATAACGAATATGAAGAGACTTACCGTGACAAAACCAACACGAATCTTGGACTACTGTACTTATTAAAATGATTGTTGATTGGTTTAGAGGATGTAAACCACAAAGATGATGGTGGACTTTATTGTTGGTTCTTCACCAATGTTCGATTTATTTTTTCTTGAAAGGTACTATACTTACTATTATACTGTACATTATTTATGAATTACTATTTTTATATCCGTTAAACAAAAATCTATTGGTCGAGATTTCGTCAAAAGAGGTTTGATAGTACAGTGAGTTCTGCTATAACGTGTGTTTTGACAACGCGAATTGGCTCTAACGCGATTTATGAATAGAGGAATGATATTTGTATAACACGAACGCTTGTTTGCTGTAACGCGATTTTTGCTTACTATTTCTCCAATTTAGTGGTATTAACTGTGAATATGGTAAAGAAGAATATCTCCAAGAAGCGTTCTGGTGATTGCATTCCCAGTGATGATCGTAAAAGAAAGGCTTTAACCCTTGAAGAGAAGCTTGATGTTATCTACCTCAAAATCACCCTTCTCCCCCATCAAGTTATATTCATATTTTTTCAAGGTAAAGTGTTACATTTACTGTATGATTTCATTATTAGATATAAATGTAACATTTATTTAGACTGTGCTATCCTTTGTGTTAGGCTAACACCTAAATTTTTTTTCGATTTCGAGTAGTAATCTGCACCTAACCCTATTTTCTCCATAAGCCCTGTTATTTCTATTACGCGAATTTCTATAACATGATGTTTTACAAGAACACAACTATCGCATTATAACAGAACTGACTGTACTGTACTCGAATGTGTTTACTTTGCAATACAGTACTAAGGTTCTGAATTCATTTTCATTTTCTCTTTTAACAGGATGCCACCCCACAAGAATTAGGGTAAATAATAAATCTTGGATATTTTGAGTAGGAGATTACCAACTAAAAATATCAGTACAGTAGTACCACGATTTACGTGGTCAATTGAACCCACAGGGTACCGCGGAAAGTGAAAACAGCGTAAAGTGAACAATAGAACATATGGGATTAATTCCAATAGAGACTGGCCCGACCCCCAAACTCCACTTTTTCCGACACAATACCTATGTTGTAGTAAAAATAACATCTAAATTTTATGATGGTATGCTCACACAATTAATATTTAAGAGAAATACAGTCGCCAGGTTAATGTCCATTCAAATAATGGACTCAAATCCCTCCCCCCCCCTCTTCCCAGCTCACTAGCTCCTACCTCTCTCATTAATGTTTGGGTGAAAACTCTAGATTTTAACGTTTAGTAATAAATAATACCTCAGACTAAAGTTAGGATAATATAATTGACATTTCTGGATTCCTTGCAGGTCAGGGTATATTTTGAATGTAAACTTCATATATTTTGCACAAAAGACAAAATATTTGCTTTGTGTAAACCAAATTATTACTTTAGATCTAAAATTTGTATGTCTAATGCAAAATCCATGATGTTTATATTCAAAATGATCATCATATTGTAAGAATTCCAGCAATGTAAATTATATTCTTGTCGAGTAATTTGTATGAATTTTATGAGCTAAAACAAATATCTTCAGTTAATAAAAAAAAAAATATTCTTCACGACACTATCTGTCAATCAAAGTACCCCACCTTGCCTCCCCCCCTCCCGAATCGAATCGAATCGAAAATGCTAGTGACAGGAGGGAAGGAGGTTCAGGACCCTCCCTCCTCACACTCACGCCAGCTGGGTCGGTCGGTCCCAACCCTCCCCCCCACCTTCCCTCCCTACCAGATAAATGTGTGGGTGAAAAAACTAGATTTTAACGTTTAGTAATAAATAATACCTCAGACTAAAGTTAGGATAATATAATTGACATTTCTGGATTCCTTGCAGGTCAGGGAATATTTTGAATGTAAACTTCATATATTTTGCACAAAAGATAAAATATTTGCTGTGTAAACCAAATTATTACTTTAGATCTAAAATTTTTATGTCTAATGCAAAATCCATGATGTTTATATTCAAAATGATCATCATATTGTAAGAATTCCAGCAATGTAAATTATATTCTGGCCGGGTAATTTGTATGAATTTTATGAGCTAAATAAAAAAAAATAAAAAATTATACTTCACCGCGTATATGAGTAGATGCACCGCGGAAAGTGAAAGTCTGGTTCTGGCAAGGTACCGCGTAAACCTGTAAAGCAGGGTAATACTGTACTGTAATATGAAACATAAAAATAATATTTCTATGATATGACTAGCATAATATCACATTAAATATAAAAAAAATTCCCATAATTTTTGTGCTTAATCCACAGAAACGCAAATGTACACTTCTGGTTCATTTCTATTTTAACTCAGAAAATTGTAAGTGGTATTTAGTCTTGAGCATCTGGATTTAAAACAGTGGATTTCCAGTTTGTTGTAACTGAAATTTTATCAACTTCCAGAGCTGAACTGCACATGGGGCAATCCTCTCCATCTTCCACCAACCTAGAAGAGGTATACTTGCTTTAGTTTTAACATACTGCAATACACATAAGTTCATTTATATACAGTATTACATTAAAATGTCATTACAATGTCGAACATAAACCATATGCAAGTACAGTCCTGTACATCATTCAACTGAAATTTGTAATAAATTGTTTGTTACATAAAAAAAAAAAAGTATTGTACATGTTATAATAAAAAAATTGCACTCACTTCATTAATTCTGTTCTAATTGCAGGAAACTTGCATGAAGGGCACACAGTAATGTCATCTGGCAAAATATGCCGACCCTGTAGAAGGATAAGAAATTGTAATGACATCAAAGAAAGTAGTGTATCCTGAAAGAATTGAAAGAGCAACTCCTGAGGAAAAGGTATTATACTGTACTAAGAAAGTAAGTTAATATTTTCCAGCATTACCTACTGGTATCTCTAACATGTAATAATGTGGGCTATGTCACAATATACAGTGATCCCTCGGTTAACGAGCGCCTCGGTTAACGAGATTTCGGTTCACGAGTTACCTTCCATGAGATTCTTAACTTCGGTTAACGAGCAATCCCTCGAATAACGAGTTTTTTACGAGCCGACCTCAACATGTTTTCGCTTGCATTTGGCGGTCCACCAGCTGTAGTATTAGTCCACCAATACAATAATCTGTTCTAGGGCTTAAATTCCTTGCTATTTTAGTAAATATCAAGCAGTTTATACTATTCAATAATTTTAAAAGTTTTATATTAAATTTTGTTGTCATTTTAACAATTATTGAACATAATTGAAGTAGAAGAAGCTAGTTTTTTGCGCTCCAATCAGCCTGTCAACACACCATACAGGCGTCAGTCTCTGTGTTTTTAGTGGAGGTAACATCTTGCTTCAGACTCTCTTCAACTAAATGCTTTTTTTCTGTGTTTCCAAGCAAATTATTGGTCATTTTGAAATTTATTTTACATATTGACAATATATAACGCAGTGCAGTGTTAATTTAAAGAAAATATTCTTTATTTACAGATATATTAAACTTAAAATATCACGTGTTGAGATTGTTTGAATCCAGCATGGGTCTCAAGAGATCAAGAAAAGCGATTTCAATCCAAGTAAAGCAGGAAATTATTAAAAAACATGAAGAAGGCATTAGAACAAATGCGCTATGCAAAGAACATGGCATGTCGCCATCAACTGTGTCGACAATTCTTGCACAGAAAGAAAAATTTAAAGAAGTGAAAGTGAGAGACAAATCTACCATAGTGTTTAAAGGTAAATCCCTAATTGCAGAAACAGATAGGTTACTTCTCATCTGGATTAGGGAAAAACAGATGAAAGGTGATTCAGTTTCTACTGAATTTATTTGTGAAAGAGCCAGGGAGATTTACGAACATTTAAAGACAGATCAACCTGGTTCTTCAGACACAGAATTTGAAGATTTTAGGGCCAGCAAAGGCTGGTTCGAAAAATTTAAGAAAAGAAGTGACATTTTCAGTGTTATTAGGCATGGTGAGGCTGCTAGTGCTGATAAGGAAGGGGCAGCAAAGTTTTTTGTGGAGTTTAAAGAACTGATGGAAGGAGAAAATTATCTTCTACAGCAAGTGCTAAATGTGGACGAAACTGGGCTGTTTTGGAAAAAGATGCCCAAAAGAACATTCATCACCAGAGATGAAGCCTCTTTATCTGGGCATAAACCCACGAAAGACCGTCTCACTCTATTGCTTGGTGCCAATGCTTCAGGGGATTTCCGACTGAAGCCTATGCTTGTCTACCACTCTGAGAACCCCAGGGTGTTCAAGCAACAGAAAGTGGTGAGAGGAAAGCTTGGAGTTTATTGGAAGTCCAACCGTATGACATGGGTGACAAGAAAGCTCTTTAATGAATGGGCTGTTGAGGTGTTTTGCCCTTCTGTGAAGAGCTACCTAACCACCAATAAACTCCCTTTAAAGGATCTTCTCCTCATGGATAATGCACCTGGTCATGACCCTCAACTTGCCAGAACTTTGGAGACTCAATTTGACTTTGTGAAAGTGTTGTTTTTGCCTCCCAACACTACATCAATCATACAGCCAATGGACCAGAATGTGATCAGCAACTTCAAGAAGTTGTACACGAAGAAAATGTTTAGGAGGTGTCATCAGGCAACTTCCAATGATCCTGAACTAACACTGAAACAGTTCTGGAAGACACAATTCAACATCCTGGAGGCTGTAAAATTGATTGTGTCATCATGGCAAGAAGTCTCCACTAGATCCCTCAATTCTTCATGGAAAGAACTGTGGCCATCAGTAGTCCATGATTTTGAGGGATTTGAGGAAGAAGCAGAGTTGCACCAGGAGATTGTGTCCATTGGTCAGTCATTGGGCCTTGAAGTGGAGGAGGATGATGTGGAAGAGCTTGTGATGTCTCATGAGCAGGAACTTACTCCTGAAGACTTGAAGCAACTAGATGAGATGTTAGAGGCTGACAATGGTGGGGAGGAAAAGGAAAGTGATGACCATATGACAACTTCAGAGTTGAAAGATGTTATTTACCACTGGGAGAAGTTCAGGAAACTGGCTTCAAGGCACCCAGATGTGAAAAAATCTGAACTAACTTTGAGTCATGTTGAGGACACAATGGTCTCCTTCTTTAAACATGAGTTAATGATGAGGAGGAGACAGACCAAAATTGAAATTTTCTTCAGTAAAAGGCAGAGGGAACGAGATGCTAGCCCTCAGCCTTCCACTTCAAGAAGGAGAGAGGATGTTCATGGTGGAGAATCTGTCAGTCCAGAGGTTCCTGACATTTTCATGGAAGGTGACTCACCTTCCAAGAAGCAGTAAAATGCGTCTCCTCCACCTCCACTTCCTTCTCTTCCTGCACCTCCCACTTCAAATTCACATCAGCATCATCATCCAGGAGCCTTCTACATACACACCTCAAAGTAAGTGTACTTTCCTACCTTTTTTTTTTTAATTTAGGCAATTTTCGGTGAGCTGGAACCAATTAACCAAAAACCCATTGAAACAATGGTTTTGGTTAACGAGTTTTTCGGTTAACGAGCAACCTTCTGGAATGAATTGTGCTCGTTAATCGAGGGACCACTGTAGATACAGAACTATAATGTTAGTCACTTGTCTGAAGTCCTCAACCACAAAAAAATCTTCAATTTTGGTCTATTTGTGTTGAGTGTGTCATTGCTATATCACATCAGGGTGAAATTATTGGCAAATCTCTTTATACCAATTCCCTCAGCCTACCCATTATTAATTTGTAACCTGGATGTTAATCAATTTGCAAATTGTGTTCCATGGTATAGCTTTTGCATGTAACTGAGTAAAAGAAAAATATATAAAAAAAGAAAGTTATGTATATTTATCCAAAATTATGAGTTGAAAAACAACCATAACATAGCGAGAGAGCTAGGGGTGTGTCGCTACAGTGACAAGTCTAACCTGGCAACAGTGTCATCAGCAATGTTAACACACACACACACACAAAAAAGATAATTATATGCAATCTTCATCCGCACCAGGTATTTGTAGAGTTAAAGTGGCATATACTATAGTGAATGAGGTTCTGCTCTTCATGTTAGCAACATAAAGAATGAAGCAAGGGATATGGTAGGAAAGCCAAGGTTAAAGCAGCTTACTTATAAGGTTAGCCTACCTCGAGCATGTACTGTACTGGGTAGCTATCGTTCACCACAGAAATGCATAAATTTTAACTCCTCAAAATTATTACACAAACAGTACTTTTGAAAAATTATGAAAGTACTGTATGGGACTTTTTTTTTATTTTTTATTTATTTATTTTTTTTTTTACATTGAATTTTCGTCAATCAAAGCTTTGTAAATCAGGGACTGCCTGTAGAGGTCGGGTTTTTCAACATGGATCATGATTTCCCATAATTTAAATACTGTACTTTGCTATAGTTTATGCTAAATCATGCCTGGTATCACCTAGTTCCTAAACTTTTATGCCTCCTAACACAGTGGAATCATTAATTACTTTCATAACCAGTAGTGTAGCTTCTAAATGTATGTGTCACATATTAACAAAACTTACTGTAGCAATACAATATGGTAGAGTGTTTTGACACTGGCCACATTCTAATGTTGTCTCCTCAACTGGTGATGAACAGAATGGACATGGAGAGCCAGGTTCTTCCTCTTCCGTCTTCTGGGGTTTACGGACGATGGCTTCAATTTTCTTTTTGTACTTCTCATCTATCTGATTACGAGTTTCTGGACGCATCAACATGGCAGCGAAGTTAAAAGAGGAATTCTTCAGCCCTGAACGCTGGCATTCAATCACAGTTGAAGTTAATATTGGTATCATGTCTGAAATAATGCTTTTCATGAGAAATTTTGATATAAATACTGTATTAATGTATTTCTGAAATGAAAAACACTCATGAATGTAAATGATACATCTGAAGGTGTATATAATATATTTAAAATAAATTAGGTACACAGACTTATATCTGACAAAAAAAGTATTTTTAGATTTTTTTTTTAAGAAACGAAATATGATACAATCTGAACCACCAAGCATGGTTTGTGAATGTTTTGATAATTCTATATATTTTGACAATGTTAAAATAGCACCTCTATAATTTACAGAGTTCTGGAAAGGAGTACAGTATAGTCTCGATTTACGCAGATTTCCTTTACGTGGCACCTGGCCAGACCGGCAATTATTAGTTACGCGGTACATTCCATCATTTATGCGGGAAGCGGCGCGGGCAGGGTGCACGCTAGGTCGCCCAGTCAACAAAACATTACGAGTTCTTCACCCGCCACCAACCACAGCCAGCCCAAGTCAGTGATAGTGCGGATATGGACTTTGAGGGGTTTGACAAAGAGGCCCTGCAAGCCTCTGTGGTGGATAGTGATACAGGTGTTACAAGTGATACCGGTGAGGGCCAATAATCTGACCTCACCCTCGGAACCAACCCCCCCCATCCCTGTGTGCCCAGCCATCTCTTCTACTGACGTAAGTGTTAAAAAACCTAATATTAGTGATATTTCTCTTAAATATTAATTGTGTGTGCATACCATCATAAATTTAAGATGTTATTTTTACTACAATGTACGTATTGTGTCGGAAAAAGGGTAGTCTGGGGGTCAGCCCAGTCTCTATTTCAATTAATTCCATATGTTCTGTTATTTCATTTACGCGTTTCTCGTTTTACGCGGACCTCCACGGGTTTCATTGACCGCGTAAACCGAGACTATACTGTAATTCCACTCTTCTAGAATTCCGCATCTAAATACAGTGGAAACTGACAAGAAAATAACTTTCTACACCACACTCAGCTAAATTGCAGGCTTTTCGTTGAGGGCATTTATCTTTTTATCAGGACATAATTTAAATGATTCATGGGTATCATCATAAACTCCCAGGTAAAACCAAGAATGCCACTCTATAGTTGGCTTCACCTGCCATGGCCAAAAACACTGAAGAGTAACCACCCTCTTTATGCACAAGAACACCAATCAGTGGCCACTAATGGTGATCAAGAGTCAATCAAAATGCATACTGATTTTCCAGTTTGTTTATAAGCCACACTTCTAACAATGTTTTTGTTAAAATTGTATTGTTTGACTGGTTAAGCAAAATATTCTGCAAAAATATTAGGAATAGATCAAAATGACACTGTAAGATCAGCAAAGGGTGGAAAGTGATCTGTACATACAATGGTACTGTACTGTATCACTGAATAAACCTACATTATTCTACTAAGATATTTTTTTTTATGAATAATATGTGGGATCTATCCATCTTATTTTAATATTTATATAAAAAATGTAAAGAATAATTTTCTCAAATTTCAAACCAGAAAAAAAGAAAATTACCAAAAAAGTACTGTACAGGTTGAGCATTCCTAATCCCAAATTCCCAAATCCAAAATGCTATGAAATCCAAGGTGTTTTTTAGCAATACCCCATTTTAGGGTAATCAGACGTTTAGGGTATTTTACTTCATATTTTAGGGGAATTCCTTTGTAGTAGTAAGTAAATGAATGTTAAAGTAATTTGACATTGGACTGAATGGACATTTCTTAATTTCTTATAACATTTCCGCTTCTATACAACCTTGGTACCAGGAAGTCTCCCATTAATACGAAAAAGTATAAATTTTTTTTATTATATTACTAGACTGTGCCCTCCCTTCTAAGGGAATTTCCTTAGCGTGGTATTTATGATACTTTTAAAGTACATTGCAGTATACCCTTGTTAATAAAAAAAAGGGGGTGCTCTGGGTCACTCAAATTACCCCAAAATCTGGTGCTTGAGAGATGGCGAGTCCTGGCAACATGTTAGGGAGAACAGGACCGATCTGGTGTTAGTGTACTGCTCTGTAAACAAGAGACCAGGGATATACTACAGTGCAAAAGCTCATCTGGAGTTATGTGTGTTGGTTGCAGTTCTTCTTGTTTTTCATCCTCCTCCAACATTTCTTCAATTGTCGGTTGCTGCTGCTGTTGACCAACGATTTCTTGCAAATCTTCAACCTGAACATCCGAAAATCCCAGTGCTGGTACCAGCCACGGATTGCCTCTCCCCGCTTTCCTTGGTCTACTCTGCCCAACTTACCTCGGAGTTAGCAAACAAAGGCTTCCATGTGTGTAGCACTGCTGCAACATTAATCTTACACCATGCCTTAACAATTCTGTCCACTGGATTTTTAATACTGTATTATATTTCTTCCAAAATTCACAAACTGATAACACTTCACAGTTGCAGGGTGGTGAGGTGCTAAGAGTTGAGTCATCTACCATCTCTTGCTGCTGCTCCTCCTCCTGGTTAGCTGGTAGAGCCTGGTCACTGTCAGAATTTTTCCTTGATTTGTTGTAACTGAACTAATGAGTCTGTCTGCTGATGCAAGTCTTTATAGAGTGACTGATAGCAGAACAGTTTAACATTACTGATGAATTTGTGGTCAAGTGGCTGCAGAAGTGATGTGGTGTTAGGAGGAAGGAAGACAACTTGTACATTAGGGTGGCATCCAATTAGAAACTTAGAGTGTCCAGGAGCATTATCCATCACCAGGATCACTTTGAAGTCAATGTTCTTCCTCCGGCAGTACTGTTGGGCGTCAGGAACAAAGTGCTTGTGAAACCAATCGGTGCATAAAGACATTGTAACCCAAACTTTCTTATTAGACGTCCAATAAACATTGAACTGCGGCATATTGGCATGATGGCAGGCTCTAGGACGGGCAGCACAGTTAACAACCAGGGGTTTCATCAAGAAATCTCCACTTGCATTAGCTGTGAATAAAACTGTAAATCCTGTCCTTTGAAGTCTTTACACTCCTTGCCTGTTTTTCATCCTTGGCAATGAAAGTGGTCTTAGGTGAGAGCTTCCAGAAATGCCAGTTTCGTCACAATTGAAGATTTGGCCTTGGCAATAACCACTCTCTTTCATAAGAGCTTGAAAGACAAGTAGATATTTTTCTGCTGCTGCTATGACATCAACCGATGCACTCTCCCCATGGTAGTGGGCAAACTTGACTTCATAACGCTTCTTAAAGGCAGCCAACCAACCAACAGAAGCATTGAACAGTGGTGAAGAGATAACGCGTTTCTTCTGTGTAACTGCAGCATAATAAACACGTGTTTGATGCCTTAGTTGTGGTCCAGACAGGTTGCCCTGCTCACGGTTTCTTCTTTCCACCCACTTGTGAAGGTAATGTTCTGTGATAACAAGCAGTAGGTTTTGTTGTGAAGTATTGGAGAATTTCCTGTTACTAGAAAGTCTTGAGAATACATTCACAGAAGCGGTTAAGGTTTCCTTGTTCTTCTTAAGGGAACGTATGGTTGATTCGGGGCAGTTGAACTTATGCATGATTTCACAGGTACGAGCATCACTTTTGATCATTTCAAGCATCTCTCATTTCATTTCAAGAGTGTATTTCCTCTTCTTGACCCCCTACTTGGGGCTTTCCTTGCTGACCTTCTCTACAGCCATTATTACCACCAGAACCACTCCCGACATTTACAGTACGCACCTCACTCATCGTCAATACACAAGAATCATTAAAACAAAAGAATCGTTCATATACAAAAATCGTTAATACACAAGAATCATTAATACACAAGAATCGTTAATACAGTAAGCCCTCGTATAACGTCGGCCCGCTTAATGTTGTTTCGGTACTACATCACGAATCTTTAGATACCAAAAATTCATGTAACATCCCAATTACTCATTACAACGTTGTTTTGCGTCGCCACGGGCTACTTTATACTGAGCATCACCCTCTCTCGTCTGGCCGCACTATGCACTCTTGGCTTGGCGCAGTCTCAGTAGCTCACCACCCTCCTCCTCTGCTCCCGCCATACTCATCCCCTCCCGCCATCCGCTTCACTACCCACCACACACTCGCTCTACCACCTCCGCCCATCGGTGAGTACCAATACAAACTTAGTAGTTGTATATGTATGCACTATTTTCTATAGAAATGGCAATGATTTCTGTATATGTAATATATTTCATGGGGCAAAGGGAGGCTCAGGAACGTAACTCCCGCGTTTTATCTATTTTTTATGGGGAAATTGATCCGCTTAACGTTGTTTCGTATAACGTCGCATGTTTAGGAAAGTAACCCCGATGTTAAGCGAGGACTTACTGTACACAAGAATCGTTAATAGACAAGAATTGCTAGTACACAAGGATCGCTAGTACATAAGAATCGCTAGTACACAAGAATCGTTAATACACAAGAATGATTAATACACAAGAAATGTTAATAGTTAAACAAGAATCTCACAAAACGTAAGCTCAATGGGTTATATTATCCAAGGTCACTGCACCACTTGCTCATTCAAACTAACTGCCATAAACAAAAAACACTTGGCGGGTAAGCGGATAACAAAGGACCTTCACAATGCGCTCTGCCCACTCTCCTTTGACTTGCAAAACTGGTAATGAAAATCGTTATTCTTGAGAGACTGGAAATTTTAAAAGTGACGTGAAACATATGAATCGCGAATCTAAAACCAGCTAAACTTGAGATCCTATAATACTATAAATGAATTTCATGCACACACTTGGGTTCCATCCCTGCTGGGTGAGCTACCACAATATACAGGTATACAGTATATAGGTATTCCCAAATCCAAAAATATCTCAAATCCGAGGCCCTTCTGGCTACAAGCATTTTGGATAAGGGATACCCAACTGGTACAGTATTATATATTAACAAAAATAGTAACTAATATCTATTCATCTAATAGAAAACAATTTCAATATCCAAAACTCAAAATTTATACACCATTATTATACAATGCCTTTTTCTCCACTTGAAAAGAAAATTATAACTTACGTGCTGGAAACTTTGAAATATTATTAGCAACTCTGATGAGCATCCTTGCAGCTTTGAGATGGTCACCCCGCCGTACATGCAGCCTAGCTAATGTGTAGGAATGAAGAAGCAAAAGAGCTGAACTCATGTCTGCTGGAATTCTTATCTTCTGCCGTTGTAGTTCCCCATACATACCCAGGAGCATGTCATGAGCATGACGATAGTTGCCTGAAACAATCAGAAAAAATATACAAACAAAAAAAGCACTATGTGATAGATACCTACTTTTGTGGCTTGTGAGGGACAAACTTCATGTCTTAATTCCAAGCTCTGGAATATACAGTTTCATTTTTTAGTGGCTTTTTGACACTTCTAGAGAATATCACTGAAATCATTAGTGGCAGCTAAAGGGTTAAGGATTTATCATTTGAACAGTCTTGTAGAGAATTTATTCAGGATCATTATGACATCAAATAAATTCATCTCTCTAACACAATTAGAACACATGATGTGAATAAAGGTTTATACACTTTTTTGCTAGCCATAAATATATTTGCTCACAGCCTCGCTCCTCAAAAATACCTTCATTCGACAGCCTGTATCATATAGATTTTTAATATTTTTTAAATACAGTATATTTATATTTAATCAAACTTTTAGATAAATTATTCAGGATTATTTGGAAAAAATTAAAATAAATAAAGTGTTTCTAACTTATTTGGAACTGATTTTATAGACTCCGGTATCAACATTTCTTACATTTTGTCATAAAAGAACTGAGTCCCCATCATTATATCGTGTCAAAATATTTTGTTTAAGGATCTTTTATTGAAAGAGACTCGTAGATAATACATTTAGGATCATTATGGTATAAAATTCATCTCTCTAACACAATTAGACCAGAAGGTATAAATTAAAGTTTATACAGTTTTTCACCAGCCGTAAGTATTTTCACTCATGCACGCGGTCTACACGTAATGGGAAAGAGTTTGTCCGTGCGAGATGAGATGCATAGTTTAGACTCTGGGAAAACTTTCCCCAGCCCCCAGAAACATTTGGGGGATGTGAGATAGTGTCTATCCATGCGAGTTGCGTATTTAGACTCTCAGAAACTTTTCCCATTACTCAGAAAAAATCCGGGATTGTGGGATTTCTTCCCAGTTTGAAAGAGTTGTCTCATCATCCAGGAATCTCTCATCCCTGGAATAGCTCTGCACCAACTGTTCCCGAGGATATCACTCAGGGATGTGATTGGGTCTTGGAAAAAAAGAGCTGGGAGGTCCATGGAAACACCTACCCAGGAAGTTTTAACCATATTTAACTTAATTTCTCAGTGTTACTCATTTTGTGAGCACCTAATAGTTAAAATACACAGTACCCAAAAAGAAATGTATGTTTATTGCAGCAATATTTTTCATGCATATAGTCTTAATAATTAATTTCAAAATTTTAGTTGTTACTAAACCTGAATTTGTTTAATAATTTTAATTGTGCACCATTATTGAGAGAATATAAACTAAAAGGTAAGCTTTTTTTGCACTGTATTGTGTGAGAATTCAAAATTTAATCTTACCAAAGGGATTTATCTCTAATGCACCAGCAACTGGGGTTTCAATAGCATATGTAGTGCGTATATAAGAAAAATAAGCATGTTCCATGATATATACAAACAAAATATTTAGTTTTCTTTCCCATGTAATATTCATGCATATGGTTTTGTTTTATTCTTAGTTTCAATTGCATCAGCTAGTTTTTTCAGGGTGAGTAAATGCTTCCATTTTTATCGCTGGAAGGCCTCTCTGCTCTTCCTTTATTTTTGAGCCATTTCCTCGCACTCTGTTTTCTTTGATTCTAACTGTTGTTTAACAAAAATTTCCTCTTATTATCTTCCTGCTGCAACTGCTGGCAAGTTTTATGTCTATAAATCATAGGGTCCCCCTCCTGGGGGACACACACACACACACTACATCCTTGACCACCGAAGGGTCAAGACATACCTGGCGCTCCTCTCGGAGCAGCCAGGTCAACTGTTAAGTTGGCCCATACCAACCCCCTCCCCTGAACCCTCCTCCCCACCGGAATATCAACAAGTTCTCGCCAGAAGTTACAATTTCATTTAGGAAAGGAACGGAACCAGTGTTAAACAGAGGTGAACAGTGGTGAATAGTGCTTAAGTCAGTGAGAACAACTCAACAGTAACAGTCGTACCCAAGTTAACCTTCACACAGTGAGGTCCCAAGTACCCAGTGATAATGGCCCGTGAGACCCAACAACAACAACCAGCGATGTGTTAATCCGTCTACGATAGGAAGGCCTAAGACCAAACCTCACTCATATAACACCATCTGTGAGGGAATTACCACACCACATGTCCCTCATAACACCATATGTGAGGGAATTACTACACCACGTCAAGTCCCTCATAACACCATCTGTGAAGGAATTACTAAACCACGTCAGGCCCCTCATGACACCATCTGTGAGGGAATTACTACACCACGTGATGCCCCTCATAACACCATCTGTGAGGGAGTTACTACACCACGTGAGGCCCCTCATAACACCATCTGTGAGGTAATTACTACACCACGTGAGGTCCCTCATAACACCACCTGTGAGGTAATTACTACACCACGTGAGGTCCCTCATAACACCATCTGTGAGGGAATTACTACACCACGTGAGGCCCCTCACAACACCATCTGCGAGGGAATTACTACACCACGCCAGGTCCCTCATAACACCATCTGAGGGAACTACTACACCACGTGAGTTCCTCCTAACACCATCTGGGAGGGAGTTACTACACTACGAGTTTGCTGTTCAACACCTACATTAATCTGTATGTTCACTGTATGTTCCTTTACCTTTCTCTAATGAAGGCTTTTGTTAAACCACCAATGTATGTAATAAGTCATTTATGTCCAATGTATATTTTCAGCCTTCGGGCTGCAGAATTTTTTTCAATAAACCGTTAATTATTATTATTATTATTACTACAGCCCTGACCTCCTGGGGGACACAGTCAAACAAGGCTTATAGCCCTGACCTCTTGGGAGACACACACAAACATGCCCTACAGCCCTGACCTCCTGGGAGCCACACACAAACATGCCCTACAGTCCTGACCTCCTGGGGGACACACACAAACATGCCTTACAGCCCTGACCTCCTGGGACACACACACAAGCATGCCTTACAGCCCTGACCTCCTGGGGGTCACACACACACATAGGTAGTAGGCAGCTATCAAACAGGGAGGTACTACCGCCTGGGAAGATATTGGAAGCATAATGTGTTGTCTCATGGTAGACCCCGCTGCCATATGGCATCACAAAAATTGTGACCAAGTCCCAGGTTGCTGATCTGTTTTTCTGCCTCATTTACACACAATTGCAGGGCCTCAATTGTTTCTCTCTTTGACAACACAACATACAGTGCATACTGTATATCGTTTCTCACTCTTTATTTAGTTTTTCATTTTCGTATTTATTTATTATTATTATTATTATTATTATTATTATTATTATTATTTATTTTTTATTATATTTTTTATTTATTATTAATTTATAGTAATTAATATTATTATTATTATATACAGTATTCACCCCCCAGGCCCTGATGCGGGTCAGTGACCTGTGCCCGGGTGGGCTAATGCCCCTAAAAAAAAAAAAGGCTTACAGCCTTGACCTCCTGAGGGACACACACATGCCCTACAGCCCTGACCTCCTGGGGAACACAAACATGCCCTACGGCCCTGACATCCTGGGGGACACACACACACATGCCTTATAGTCCTGACTTCCTGGGGGACACACACACATATGCCCTTCAGTCCTGACCTCCTGGGGGATACAAGCATGCCCTACAGCCCTGACCTTCTGGGGGACACAAACACGCCCTACTGAATTGCCTATATAATCGATCTATATGATTCACGTGGGTCGCCTAAAACAATGGAAAAAACGGAAAACAGGAAAAAAAATGAAGAAAACACATCCCTGATCACAGTAGTGATTTACAATGTCTGTAAGGGCGAATTTCCAAAACCAAAATTCCAGTAACACGGGCATCCAATGTACTTTTATCTACAAGAATAATATAGTTATTTTCAGCAGAGAATGCAGTTCATAAACCTTCCCAGAAATCAGGCCAACTTTCACTGTGACAACTTCTAGCGAGGAGGAAGGAATTGAAGATCATTTAGGACAGGACTTGATGTCCAAATATATTAAAAACAATAGATTGTACAACAAAGTGAAAAAATCTTTTTCAAGGTTAACTGTCAAGAACACTAGCAGCTATACAGTATTATAAACTAAATTTCTCTTGTGAAAAATCCAGAATGAAAGCTGCAAACAATATCAAACAAGCTTAAATACCAGAGCTTCCCAGTACAGTATGCCCAATGTGAGCAATCCTTATACAATACAGTACAGTACAGTGATATCCTCATTAGCTGAAACAACTGGTACAGAGCACTTCCAGGAATGAGAGATTTCCGGATAACGAGACGACTCTCAAAGCCGAAAAAATCTCTCATCCCCGGAATTTTCCAGATAACAGGAAAATGTTCTCAGAAGTTCCAGAAATTACCCATTACATCATTTCTCGAACCTGGAAAAACATCCCTCATTCCCGGAATTTTCCGGGTAACGGAAAAATTTTCTCGGAATTTCCAGAAAATGCGCCTGATTTTCATCTCTCAAACTCGGAAAAACTCCCCCATCCCCGGAATTTTCTCGGAATTTTCTGGGTATCGGGAAAATTTTCTCTGAATTTTCTGGAGAATGTGCCCCTCGGAAAAATTTTCCCAAAGCCAGAATTTTCCAGAAAATTCTGGCTTTGGGAGACGATTTTCTGAGAAAATTTCAATTCTGGCTATTTAAGAGTTCCGAGTTGAGGGATTACGGCTAACGGAGGTATTACTGTACCTGAGTTTTGCTCCTCCCTTGCAATGATGATAGCAGTTTTAGCTGCTTCACGATACTGACTTTTGGCCATGTAAAGTCGGAATAGATACTTGGCATCCTGTAAAATAAAAAAGCATTTACAATAATTTCAAATCCAAGAGTATTTATTAAGGATCAACTTATTTTATAGAGCACTACAACACAGAATAAAGATAAAACTTGAGTAACAGTTTATTTATTAAAATACAATTTTATATAATAAAATGCATTAAACCTTAGTTGTGAAAAGGGATTGCCATAGAACACATTTATGATAGAAGTTAGAATGAATGAATAACAATGAACAAGAAATAATCTGCTAAAGTCATAAAAAGAAAAATCTTACTTTTGGAATGCCATCAAGTTCACCCATCAAGAAGTCAATAAGCTGTTGGGTTAAACCATCATCATTTGCTCCTGCAACAACATCAATTGCTAGTTGTATGCTCTCAGAGTCTTCAGTTCCAGAACTCTGTGCTGATCGAATTAAGTGCTTGACTGCCTGTAATTAAATATTTCATTAGTTTTAACACATAGTACAGAACATCAATATACTGAACTAGAATTACGGTGTCTCATAACAAATCATAGTGGATCTTGTCTTCTGCAAATCTCCTTAAGTAAAACCTTTATAACTTGACATCCAATAAGTCGGTATGTCACTGGATAACTGTTACATTTTTTAAGTAGTCGGAAATTGGTGTCAGGTCGGCAGGAACCAAGTCGTGTGCTAGAACGTGGCAAGTTTATATATGCCACTCGTCATAGATAGACCTTCTGATAGTGATTACCGGGTAAGTGCCTGTTGAATTGTTACTGTACAAATAGTGTTCGGTGTTATACATAATGTGCAGTCTTAAGTTTATCAGAACAATTATTTATAGTGCCTGTAATGTTGTACACAAAACAGTATACAGTACATCTGTCTCTTACAAGCTCATAAAAAATAATTGCTCCTTGCTGTTGCTATATACGGTTTATACCTAATACACAACTGCTTTTATTTCATTTTGTACATTGATTGTGGTAATTTCATCCCTGGCGACGCAATAGCTTAGGCCATATGTTGCCGAATTAAAATTAAGGCTTAAAAGACTAAAATAAAATAGTGGAAGGTAGAACTTTCATAAAAAAAACATTATATACTGTACAGTATATAGACTCATTATCGATAAGTCGGCAAATTCGAATATTCGGCTCCATATGTGCCGAGTTATGGGGCTTTACTGTACAGTATTCCTTTAAACAAACTAATCTCTCACTCATACTCCTTCTGTTTACTTCTTCTTAAGACTCATTTTGCATATACAGTACACACTCTTGACTTCCACTCTTTCTACTTTTATTCTTTCCAAACAGCAAGTTAATAAACAGAAATGAGGAGTGATTGCTATGAAGTCTGTTTACTACTATTATTAATTACCAACCTATTTAGAATTGGTTCTTTACAAGTGCTGCTCATCAAAGGTGTTTGAAGTTTTTTTATTACAATTGTTGAATGATGATGGAAGATTTAATAATTAGGGAAAGCACTTACTAAGGCCATGCTGGTAGCATTGTCTTATGATTCTTGCCAAACTGGTTTTGAAAAAAAAAATCTAAGTGTTGCTAAAATGGATCATTATTTTATAGAGACCAGTCTTGCTTCACCAAGACTTTTTTTTATTGGTTTAATTCCTATCGTGAACTCCTCTGTCTAAGAAAATTATATATTTTCTAGTTCTTCTGTGTGCTCTGGTATCTGAGGTATTTTGTCCTATGACAGTTGTTGAAAGACCAGTTTCTTTTTATCTGCACTTTTGCTTTATTTACAGGTAGGTATGGCAAAACAGTGAGTTTGTTTGTACAGTAAAGAGATTCTGGAGTCTGGCATTCTAGCAATGCTTCTGCACACAATAGTGCATATTTGTAAGATTGCTTGATATAAATAATAAACTAATCTAGAGCTCTGGGGGGTAGAAGAAGAACATGCATACTTGACGCTGGTACTCCGTTAAATTTGTTTTTCTGTCTCTCCTAATGTATAATTTAAAAAAAGGAGCCCCTAACAGAACCAAATACAGTAGTATTTTATTTTTACACAATGATTTTCTTGAAAAGTTTTCCCTTCTCTTGACTCTGCTTCCCTTTTTTTACCTTTACAGTGCAGGTATATGTAATTTTGTTGCTGCAGAATTTTGTCTATTTTTTCTGAGTTCATTGACGTCCAAAGCAACCCCCAAGACTGTCTCAATTGATTGATTGTGGTAATTACATCTCTGGCGATCCAACAGCTTTGGTCATATGTCGCTGAATTAAAATGAAGGCTTAAAAGACTAAAATAAAATAATGCAACGTAAAAGCACAATAAACAACATGGAACTTTCATGAAAACCATTTAAACATTAATAAGTAAAATTCAAAGCTTGTGTAGAAGGCCAGCTTCCTCCACAAAGGAGAAGACGTCCCCTACCACATTACCCACCAAAGATCCGTCTCCACCCACCCCCCCTCCGGCACGGGAGAGGTGCTTACAACGAAGATATCCAAGACTGGGGCATTCCACTAGGTGTCGAACAATCAGTGGGACCAGACGGCCATCATAATGGGGAGGGGACGCACTCTCCATTAAAAAACCATGAGTTAACCGTGTGTGACCAATGCGGAGGCAGTCCAAAGCAGTCTCTCGGCGGTGTGACAGTCCCTGATATCCCCAGGCACCCAATGCAGGGTGGAAGTCGTGGAGCTTGTTTGCTCTGACAGCATCCCACTATCATTTCCAACTCGAGCGGATGGCAGCTCTTATTACTGGTTTCATATCAGAGGCAGGTAGAGGGGAACAACTTGCCATTGGGAAGGAAGCAGCTGCATTCGCCACAGCATCAGCACACTCATTCCCCTTCTCACTCACATGGGACGGAACCCAGCAAAAACTGACTTTCCAACCCCAATGCTGGATGAAAAATAGCCACTGCAAAATATCTATAACTAGGGGATGTGGCGATGAGACAGTAGCTAAGGCCTCGAGAGCACTATGAGAATCACTAAAAACTAAAATCATTATAAGGTTGGTAATGTTGAGGGCAAGTAAAATACCCAAAAGCTCTAACAAGTACAGGCATTGAATTAACACTGTAGACCTAAGTCACCCCAATCTGTCCGAAGTCACCACATCTCTAGGGTGACTTTGAACGCCTATCATCCAATACTGCGCTGGTCCCAAGGTTGCCAGAGAAGAAAGAGTCAACCTGTAAATCTAAATATCACTTACTTTAGGAAAAATGCCAGCTAAATAATAGAATTTTCCTGATAGGAAATGATTTCGCTCATTTTCAAAGTGTAGGGCAACACTTTTATAATCTTCTGGAGTCGCATCAGAACCAAGAATATCTGCATACAATTCCATTTTTCCATGTGTGCGTGCCAGCTGGAATGCTTCGTCTGTGCACTTGGAGAGAACAAGAAACTGAATTGCTGAATTGTAGTCATTTAACTTCTGGAAGAATCTGTAAAGTAATAAAATGTTATACAGTAATCTTAAGTCAAGAATAATTTCATCTTATACTGTACTTATTTCTGAAATTCATATGGTAATTCATTAACAATATTTACCTCAAAGAACCAATTGTAACGTTTAACCACTAATATATTTGTGTACTAGGGGTCCTCATTTCCAAGGCTAATAGGGACAGGAAATCGTCATTAAAAGCGAATCCATTTGATTAAAACAGGAAATTTCTGGTCCTACGAAATAATGGGAATAAGGTGTGATTGGGATCATAAGATTTTAAAGACACACAGAGGGATTATTTTTATACCTTATGTCGTTTATACTCAGGAATCTGAAGAGCATGTGAGATATCTTTCACCACCTTTCTTCTGATAAATAACATCAAATTTCATGTCCAGTCCATAACTGCTATGCTTTCTTTTAAAGACAACACTTAATTTAGCACTAGCACTACACTCTGAATTTATGGCTAAACAATAGCAATGATTTTTGAAGAATCATAAGAAAAAAAAATGCAGGTGATTAGGGATTGTTTACAGTGGGTGAATGACTGAAAGTGAGTGGGGGATGAGCGAGGTAGAGGTCGGGGGATACACATCAGTATAGCTAGAAATTTCAATAATTTTCTGTTTAGACTTCCATGCTCCATGGGTATTATTCCTCGTAATCCTCATGTGTGCAGAATTTTTTTACATATAGTGCAGCAATAATTTGGCCTCGTAAATGCAAAACCACGGATATTGATGACTCGGAAAATGAACACCCCTGTACATGCAATTAGAAGAAATATTTATCTGTCTGTGCAAGATGAGCTGTCTTGTGGTATCATAAGCAAGGAGAATAATACAGAAATTCAAAACTAGTAAAGTATTTGAAATATTAATGGACACACAACTCAGGTAAAGTCCTTTGGCCCCTACAACCAATAGGAAAACATTCAATATTCACAAAACCTAAAATAAAATTATTAGTGTTCACTATACAGAAGTTAAAAAAAATATTGTTCACTACAACCTACATCAAATCTTTCACTGTCCATGACCATATTGTGCTTCATTACAGAAATATGACTATTCAGTTAAAGCCCGATAATTCAAAACAATATGGGCTCTAGCCCTTACAAATTGAGATTTTATGAATTATGAGGGACACCGTCTTCCGAAGGAAAAAAAACGGTACTTTTTAGGGTTATCAGACACAATGGCTGAAACACTGAGCAATGCCCATCAAAAACTACAATTACTTTACAACAATATGATACCTAGGGTATAGTATAGCATAAGCCCTTCTAGAATTTGTGCATATGAGCTAAAAAGTACTCTGTGCTACTATAATATCCTTACCTGGCAACCATTTTTGCACCTTCTACACTTTTGGTCTCGCGAACAATCCTGACAGCTTCTTCCGGGGAATTAAGGTTGTGCAAGAGGAGACGTATCACAGACTCATAATCCCTTGCAGATTCATAGTAAGTGGCTGCTTCATGATACTGGCCATCTGATTCTTTGGCTTTGGCATACTGAAGAATATAAGGAATTTAAAAGTATATTACAATACATTATTATTCAGTAAACAGACTGCTATAAAACAAATTAATAAATTCTTTCTAAAAACAATTCCTGCCAAATGATAAACAAAATTCTACAGAATACCAATAAAGTTAAGGCAAATTATAAAAAAAAATTTAAGTACTGAACAGTAATCTCCCTGTTAGCCTGAATAATTGGTGCAGAGCGGTATTGAAATAAATTTTCTTATCCCGGAAAAAATTGCACATCTCTGGAATTTTCCGAGCACTGGTTGAATGCTTCTGTATCTAAACTATACATTTCGCATGAAGCACCGCTGCTACGGAAGCTTAACTGCAGTTGGAAAGACACAGAATTTTATTTGTTGATGCAAACACTACTCTACACATACACTATGTCGTAAATAAAGAAAATATACTACTGCACTGTATAGTATATGATAATGTACAGGTGAACCTCTATTTGTGATGGGGTTAGATTCCTGAAATCCCAATCTCAGGTCAAAACATCATAAACAGGTTCAGTATAACATGGGGTTCAATGGGATTGGTTCCTGGCCAGTCGGTCACCCATATGTATCACCAAAAAAAAAAGATCTTGGTATACTACTAGCACTACAACACAATTCAACAGCACTCGCTACATCGTAATGAACAAGTCTGGTCATCATCACATGTCCCCTTCGAGGCTAAAGGTACTCATAAGGTGGAGTGGAGACATCAACCTGAATCCCCACATAGACTTTGGGGAATTTAATGAGTGAGAACTAAAGGTGTAGCCTTTGTCTTGGCCTTAAATATGATGAGCAAAATGATTGTAAGACATTTTCAAAGTTACACTGCTCACTTCACAATCACAAAAATACGATAATAATGATAACTCAATTTTTTTTAATGAAAAAACGTATTAAATTTTGCGATAGAGGTGTGGTAGGAGAATTAGTGGGTCTCATGTTAGTGACCTAACCTAAGCAATGTTAGGTGGAGGTGGAGTGGGGGATTAGTGGGTCTGATGACCTGAAGATGTCTTGAATAATGATGAAAGCTAAATTGCATATATGTTTATGACTAGCAAAAAAGTGGATAAACTTTTATTCACATCTGCTCAGTGTTAAGAAATAAACTTGGTACCATTGCATATATGGAGATGCATTTCAATGACAATATTTTCTACCTATGAGATACTGTATAAATGCATTACTGTACTGTATTGTATATAAGGCGCTCCGCATTACAAGGGGGTAAAGCGCCACCCTGGGCAAAATGCGTTTTTTGATGGATATCATTATTTTCACCCTTCCTCTACAAGTTGGCATTGGATGTAACCCCCTAGGTAGACTAGAAATATGGTTGAAAGTCCTTTAAAAATAGGGTGTAATTTCGCCCCAGGCCAGGAGCTATGTATCTGACTGTGTGCTCAGTAAGTAAAGGTGATCACATCCCGTTTATAGTGAGAGGAACGCGAGCCAATAACAGCACGTGCCCCGCGGACCATACTCCAAGTCAGCCAATCCCAATGGATTTCCCTTGCTACGTCACAGCTCCTCGGCCAATCCACGCGCCCAGATGCTGCCTCCCTGTTAGTCTTGCCACGCTGTGTAGTATAAGGCGGTGCAGTGTTTCTACTGCTATTTTGGATAACTTTTCGGCATAACATTGACGTTATTCGTGTTCCACGAGTGTAAGAAGTACTACATAATGTCCGGCCGATTTTAGAGCATGATTCGAGTGAGGCCAGGCCTTCTGGTGTGGGTTCAGGAGCCCTAAATCCTGAGTGTGTCTAGTGACGACAGTGCTCACGTGGACACCCCAGCCATGCTTGGTGATAGTGATTTTGGTGGTGCAAGTGCTACTGGCAAGTTATACACACTCCTCAGGATTTATGTAACTTCAACTTACTACAATCGTCGAGGATAATAAAACGAAGGAACTAAACTAAGTAAGATTGTAATACTATTATCATAACACTGTTTTTACTCAAGATTATGCAAACATTCTCCGCCTTTGTATTCGTATGTTAATTATGTTGGGGGGGGGAGAGGTCAATGGTGGGGGGATGAGTGTAGTAGTGTTTCCTTATTATTACACCATTATATTAAACAATATTATAAATCTTTGGCTAATAATAGGGACAGAAAGATAAATACTGATAGGCAAATGAGTTTTTTATTATTATTTCATTTTTTTGGGTGGGGGGGGTTATGGGGAAGGGTGTAAGATGAATGTTGTTTTTGGTGATCATTAACTTGTTTTGCAGTATTAGCCCACAATAATAAGAAAATTTTGCAGAAAAACGCTATTATTGTTGGTTTGAAGATCAAACATCCATACATGATAGGTAGTTATTCTTATTTAACTCGTAATAAAATAATAACTACTCACAGTACTAACTTCTAGTTTTCACTGTTCGCTAGGATAGGGACTGAGCTGCACAACAAAAAAATAATCCTCTAGCATTAAAAACAACAAAGTTATGGTTGCTTGAACTTCACAAAACTTGAAACGCATTTTTCTCCGCTTTTTAAATTTGGCGCTTCACCCCCTTGTAATATGGAGTGCCTCATATGAAGGATACATGTATTATTAATAAGCACATTTATTACAGTAGCATATCTTTACTAATTAATAACAAATAAAAATATTGCATCATGAATGACAAAATGAGTGAGATTCAGTGTAATTTGTTTATGAAAACTTCAGGATGTTATAAAAGCATGAAACTTTCATGAGTTTTAAAGGACCATATTGTGATCAGTTTCATATATGGAGCCACTTTGAAAACTGCCTAGTTTAGGAGGGGTGGCCATTTTCCAAAATGGCTACCAAAATATATGCTTCAGACAACTTCACGCTAATATGAAACTTGAAAACCTTTATTAAAAAGTGATTTTTATAAGAATGTCAGTCAGACTGTTTGAACACCTACACTAGATCTTTAAAAAGCTGTTAATGAAAAAAAAAAAATTAAATTGTGACATACGTACTGTAGCTGTTTATATGTTAAGCACTGAAGCATCGTGTAAAACATTGGCATAACATACAAAGAACACTTGAAATCTATTGATGCACATATCAATACAATCTATTAGTACGAAAGAAGTCACACTTTCCAAAGCACTGACTTAGTACATAACATAAGCTCAATTGTCACTCTCTCCAGAGCACTGGCATCGTATTGAACACATTAGAACTGCATTTTTGCATTTGAATCTTCCTTTATAACCCTTCTTGCATCCATATGATATAAGTTCTCTACAGGCATCATTAGCTTCAGGCAAGGTTGTCCAGAGTGGCTCCCAGCTTTCTGGATTGGTTCATCCCCCAGCCTGATGGATTTCGAAGACAAGTATGTGGTTGTAGAATCTGCCCCCAGATGAATGCACCTTGGTATGTTGTGCAATGTATGTGTTGACTCACAGCTGCCTTTTTGAGTGAACAATAACAGTAATCAATTCAAAAGGGCTTGTTTGATCATATAGTACATGGTATCACAGCCACTATAAGCATATAGAAAATGACAAGAGTTTATGATCTTTGTTGTCCAATATTCCTGGCAATTTCATGGGCAGGTATTATTGCAGATATTTTTCGGTCCCAAACAAAATCTAGAGTTCTTCCACATCCAATGTATACACCACAGAAACTGCAAGCACTCACTAATCCCCCACAGCTCCGTAGGAGTGGAAAATACCAGTCTTTGCTGCAACACACAGCTTTATTCATGAGGCACCTCACACACCCATATTACAGGTTGACAATCCCTTATTCGAAATCCTTGGGACCAGATGCATTTCGGTTTTTGGAATTTTTTGGTTTTCAGAATGAATTTTGTTTTTGTTTTTTTACAGGGATCAGCCCACCCGGGCACAGGTCACTGGCCCACATTGGGGCCTGGGGGCTAAAATATAATAATAATAATAATAATAATAATAATAATAATAATAATAATAATAATAATAATAATAATAATAATAATAATAATAATAATAATAATAATAATAATAATTAATAATAAATAATAATAATAATAATAATAATAATAATAATAATAATAATCATAATAATAATTCATAGGTCTAGGTCGTGGTTCTCACTTTTGATCTTTTTTTCATTTTTGTATTTCTTTATTATTATTATTATTATTATTTTATTATTACAGTATTATTGTTATCATTCTTATTTTATTTTTGTGTATTTTTATTAAAAATTTTATTTACTATGAATAATTATTATTATTACTGTATTATCATTATTATTATAATTATTATTATTATTACATTTTCACCTCCCAGGCCCCGATGTGGGTCAGTGACCTGTGCCCGGGTGGGCTATAAAAAAAAAAAAAAAAACTTTCGGTTTTCAGAGCTTTTCGGTTTTTGGAATTTCGGATAAAGGGTTGTCAACCTGTACTTGTATATAGATTTTTAGTTTTGTAAATATATTTATTTAACAAAAATTTTTCATAAACTATTCCGGATTATTATAGTAAAGAAATAGAGCTGGAGTTTCTTACTTAATTATAACTACTTTTACATTCTCTTATCAATATTTATTTCGTTTCTTCATAAAGGAATGGAGTCCTCATCATTATATCATGTCAAAATATTTTGTTTAAGGATCTCCTATGGTATCAAATTCATCTCTGAACGCAATCAGAACAGATGCTGTAAATATTTTTGCTCGTGCCTGCAATCTAGATGTAATGGGAGAGTGTTTGTCCATGCGACAAGAGATGCATAGTTTAGAGTCGAGATGAGATGTGTAGTTTAGACTCTTGGAAAACTTTCCCCAGCACCCAGACACATTTTGGGGATGTGCGAGTGTCTATCTGTGCAAGATGCATAGTAAAGACTCTCACAGACTTTTCTCAATACAGTACCCAGAGGAATTCTTGTTACCTGGAAATCTCGCATCCCTGGGAGAGCTCTACACCAATTGTTCCAGCAAATGAGGACATCACTGCACCTGGAATATCTTTTATACATTTCTGCAGGAAGCGCCTTACTCCACTTTAAGAATAAATGGAAATTGAAAATGGGACCCATTTGCATAACAACCCATTAAGGACAGTGTGGATACAGCACACTGTAGGCTTAGCCTTTTTCAGGTATAGAAGAAGGCAGGTTGATTTGCGCTGCACTCAACTACTTTCACATTCGCGGACTGTTTAGTTAGGTATCCATTCACAGCTGGGTGAAATTGGGGTGCCCTGAGAGAAAACCAGTGACCATAAAAACATGAAGCAAGTGCTTTATCTTCTTGGCTGCTGCACCCTATGTCTGAATTACAGCATACAAAGTATAATTAAATACATAAATAGGAAAAAATAATCTTAAGAATGTTCAACTGACCTGAAGATGCATCTTAGGAGAGTTTATATTAACCAAGAGTTGCCCAACTTTGGTCCAGTTTTTCAGACGAATGTACAGAGATGCAGCTTTCTCATGAAAATTGCCACTCTCATACAGTACTGCAGCCTCTGCATATTGCTGTTCACATTAGAGAAATGGGAAGTACACATACAGTAGTTGGTCACTCATATATTTAAAGAATATAAACTCATATACTGTATCCAATATAAATTTTGAGTAATAAGTGCCTTTTAACAGAATGATAGGTTGAGATAAACCTGTGTTATCTATATATCCTCACCTTTTTGTTTTCTAATATCTCTGCACACTCTCTCTTAAGCATGCGGTTGTTCATCTCTGCCGCTATGTTCACACCACGCCTAATATCACCACAACGCAAAGCTGTTCGAGCAATACCAGCCTTACATGCTGCATTGTGCTCCTCAGATCCCCCCGTGTTGACCACTCCTCGCTCATAGTGGGTGAGGGCACCTGGGTAGTCTCCCCTGTGGAAGAACATGTTTAACAAAGAGCCATTATCAATATCCATCTGTATATTAATATTTTTTGTCTCAAAATATTGGATTGAAAAGTACTTACAAACCCTTCAATGGCTCACAATTCATTAAACTAACAATCACGTCTTCAGTGAAGCTTTTATCTGCAGCTGCCCTTCTAATTTCTATTTGATTTGTGCTCAGTCTGTTAATTTGACCCATCCCATAAAACTAAGTTTCAATTAATAAAGTGTCAAATGTAGAGAATGATTAATTCAGTTTGATTTTCTCTTTAACCTAATTTTTTTTTAATGTAGGGTAGTCTAAGACAAGAAGAAAGACACACATTTTGCCTTAAAAAACTAGGCCCCAGATCTGGCTTACTATACCAACATCACCCATCAGCAGCATGTCCTTCCTACAAAAATTACTAGATTCCATTCACTTCTCCTGAACCACAAATCTTGATACATGTGGTATTCAGACTCATGAATCCAAAGCATTTATGGACAGAACAATGCATCAGTCTACTACACGAGTCTGAATCTCGAGGTTTGTGATTCAGGAGAGAGGCGAATGAACTTCGGTAGTTGACTGTACACTGTTGCTTCCCATTTCTCCATCCACCTCAGTTTTGGTACATAGTTTACCCAGGGCCCAGGAGAGAAATCTTGCTTCTATGCAACTGCGGTGAGATGTTCTATGTTTTGCTCCTCAGACAACATTCTCATTAATTAACTTTCAATTCATTTTTCCACCCATCAACATATAGGCTAACAACCCTCTTTTTTCCCATTTTCTCAAGCCCAAGTATATTTATTCACATTTTCTTTCTGAAACATATATTCTGTACTGTCACCCCTCTCTATGCACACACAAACACACACACACACACACACATACAGTTACCATTCTCTTTCCATTTTCATCCATTCCTAGCATTCCATATCTCCCCATAAGCCTCACAATTTCCCTATCACCAACTGTTGACTTTAAATCCCCCATTAATCACTATCTATAACACAGAAGCTTTAAGTACTGTACTGTACTGCACAATTATACAACTTTTCCCTCATATTCTCTCTCTCTTCCTCACTCTGCTTATTCCTTGAATCATGTGTACACTCTCCCTCTCTCTCCTTTTAATGTGATCTATAATATTCTGGAACTGACCCCTTATATCTGATCGCACAGCTCTACATTTCAACTTCCATAACACTGCCACACCTGCTTTTACTCCTAGTCTCTCAAATACTAACTTTATTCCCTTCTCTCACCCTTAACTGATTTCTACTTTGCCTTAAGTTTTGTTTCACACTAAATAAAGACATCCAGGTTCCAGTTACTCATCACATGTTCAACTCCTCTTTCTTTATCACTTTAAATACAGTGATCCTCGGTTAACGAACGCCTCGATTAACGAATTACCTTCCATAAGAATCTTCAACTCGATTAACGAAAAAAATTTCGGTTAACGAAATCCTTACGAAATCATGTCAACATGTTTTCGCCTGCTCACCAGCTGGAGTATTAGTCCACCACTACAGTAATCGGTTTTAGGGCTTAAATTTGTTACCATTTGAGTAAATATCAAGAAGGTTGTACTATTCAATAATTTTCCAAGTCTTATATTAAATTTTTTAGTAATTTTAACAATTATTTAACATAATTGAAGTACAGGGAACTAGTTTTTAGCGCGCCAAACAGCCACTTGACTCACCCAGAATGGCGTCAGTTTGTGTCTCTGCTCAGTGGAGGTAGCATCTTGCTTGAGACTCTCTTGAACATAAACTATTTTTACATTTTTACAGTACAATTATTGGTCATTCTGAAATTTATTTTACATATTGACACTATATAATGCAGTGCAGTGTTGATTTAAAGAAAATAATCTTGAATAACACCAAGTGAACTTAAAATTTTCTGGGTGAAATGGTAGCATGAAGCATGGGGTGACTTCTCATCCACCCCCACTGCCTTCTCTTCTCCTTTCTCCTCCACCCCCACTTCTAATTCCCATCATCATCATCAACCAGGAGCCTTCTGCATGCACACCTCAAAGTAAGTGTACTTTACTGCATTTATTTTTAGTTTGTATATAATTTTCGGTGAGCTGGAACCAATTACCCAAAATCCCATTGAAGCAATGGTTTCGGTTAACGAAATTTTCGGTTAACGAACGACCTTCTGGAACGAATTGTGTTCGTTAACCGAGGGACCACTGTACATGTATACACAATCATCCTACTGTACTGTTATTTTTTTTTTAATAATTCAAGCAAGTAGGGAAATTAAATGCAATTTAATTAAAATGAACACAGCAAGGATCCATTAAAAGCTAATTCAGTTCAGAAAAAGGCCACTAAGTTATTAATGTTAAATGTGAATGAGCTAAGATTAATACCCATACCAACTTGAATGTTTGAACAATCACAGTATTTAAAGATATCTATAATCAATATAGTATTTACTATCCAGTAATTTCAAGCATCATTATTAATGTACCACCAGAATAAAACACCTTTCCCTGTGTCAGGATCAGGTAATTCAAAACAAAAATACCATTAAAAAAATAATAAATCCAGAGTACCCTGTATTTTCCTTTCCAAAACTACTGTACAGGTATGCTAATAAAAAGTGGTAACATACGTGAATTCCAGCTGCTGGGCATATTCCCTTGATATATAGGGAATCTGGTCAGGTGCCAGCTTCTTAGCAAGGTGGAGTGCTTGGTCCCAATGTAACAAGTCTCGCCGCATCTCTAAAGCAGCAACAGGTACACTAGACCTCAAATACAAATCCTGACAATAAAGGAAGTAATATTTTTGCAGTGTGATGTTTTGAAAGTAACAAACTTTTCAAAACTATACAGGGGGTCCCCGACTCTCAAACGTCCGACTTACGAGTGCCCATCAATACAAAAGGGGTTATATTAAACTTGAAATTTACAGTACAGCATGCCCTTAAAATTCTCTGGGGTTTGGGGTCTCAAAACGGCCGCAAATATCATTTGCTGACAAGAGGGCGAGGGTGTTACATTTTTACTAGTGTGTAAAGAAATGTGTTTGCCCTTAAGACAATTATTTATTTTACCTGTACTATACCTGTGTGTGTGTGTGTGTGTGTAGTGCCCCCCCCCCCCACACACACACACAGACACACACAAAACACATACAAATAAATAATAATGGGTAAATACCTCTGACAAATAATCAGAAACAAGACAACAAAATGTATTGAAATGTAGAAAAAGTGCGAGTCTACCCTCAAGTCAACTCCACACTTTGTTATTAAAGTTGGGTTGCCATACGGCAATTTTTTCCTCGTAAAAATTACTCTCTAGAACGAATGGCATCTGAGTGCCAGCTGGGTTGATACGTAGATCAAACTTACAAAATTTCTTTCATAGCCATCTAGCAAACCCAACATGAAAGATATCAGTAATTTTGGTGTAACACTATACTTTTTCCACAATATTTATGTAGGATGGTGTGTGTATGTAACTGAATAAAAATAAATGAAGAGGGTTACCTATTATATCTACCCGAAAATACGAGTTGAAAAACAACCATAACACCTCACAGCTTGGCCCAGTCGCCTGGTGGTTACAATGTTGAGCTAACCTAGCTACAATGCCATGATTAATCACTATTAAACACTATTCTATCAGTAAACACTAATAATAACAGTAAATCCAGTGAAATATGGCAGGGAATGAGGAAAGTTACAACTGCAAATGATGCGCCTTGCTACCAGTCACTCACTCCCCTTACTTACTCCCATTGCCAGGCATACGTATGGGAGAAATACATGACCTTCTTTTCTCTCTTCACTTGTTTGGGCACCTTCCTGTGGCTGGATGAAGATAGTTGACAGAGTTTGGGAGCCATCACAAACACAAGCAGCACAGTTGTTAAGAAAGCAGAGTAGCACACGCACGAAATGGACAAGAGTTTAACCCGAACTGTCATTGAGGCAAAGTGAGCGCACCTGGCCCAGCCACCTGGGACAAGAGAGACACCTTGTGGGATGCCATAAAACTAAGTCCTTATATACATCTAAAATCATTTAATTTAAGAGAAAAGAAGAAATAAAATGACAAAATACAGTATAATGGAAGTAAAAAATAAGTCATCAGGTAAATAAAATACTGTAAATTTAAAGTTTAACCTCGTTCATATTGGCGGGTGTTCGTACGTTTGGGACCCCATGTATAAAGTAATCAACCTGAATAAAAATACTGTACAGGTCCACCACCAATTTTCCGGCACTGTTGGTTCCAAAGCCTTGCCGAATTATCTGTTTTGCCAGACTAACCGAGGTCAGGTAATAATAATTCAACAATACACCTCTGACCCACTAATTATGCACCTCCAGTAGCAACTATACAAAGAAAAGGTGGCATTACTCCTATCACATTTTCAGTCTGAGACAAGTCCTGTGTGACCCTCACATTGTCATAATTTCATGCTAATGCCTTTTAAGTAGTTGACTGATTTATCATTTTGTCTTAGAATAACACTGATATCACTGAAGGATCAAAATAAAGAAGCATAGAGTTCAACAGAGATGTTTTCTTCTTCCTGTTACTAATCACAACACTCATCATCATGTCAAATGTGAGATGAGATAAATTTATGTGTACTGTAGTTGGGTGGGCCAAGTACAATATTCTAAAATACAAAACTTTATATTATCTCCCACTTTGCAATACCAAGATGGTATATTTAAACTTAGTTTAGGATCATGCTATAACAAGGGTAGAAACTGTCCCTAAGCAAGAGGGACACAATCCCTTAACAAGAAGGATTAACTTATTCTGAGACAATACATGGCAACAAAGGATAATATATTCAAGATGTATACAATACCTGAGCCAAATTGAAATCACCGAGATACATCGCCAAGTGTCCACCAAGCAGCAACGGATCTTCAAGATCTACTAAGTTTTGTAATGACCACACCATTCCTACGTCTCCAAGTTGGCGGTAAACACGCATACCTGTGCATCCATGTTTGCAGAATCAGTAAAGCAAAGAATACAATATACTCTCTATGTCATGCTAAGATAATGATATAAAACAATGCTGTACAATATGTGAGCCAATTCTTACTAACCAAGTTCCAAGTTCAAACACCATAAACATGCTTTTCCTAAGACTTCCCAATCCTGTTTGTTGTTTAGCACTTGGCAGATGGCACTGGCATCTTTAAATCTGTTAAATATAAAACACATTTTTTATTATGCAAATAAAGTATATCAGGCAATAACTTTCTAAATTCAGGATGGCATAAGAATCAGAAAGCAGCAAGTGAGTAGGAAAAATAAATGCAGTACCATATACTGTATACTCATTGCAATTAGTTGTTCTTATACGATGCTGTGCAACGTCAATAATCTGGCATTTAAAGCCAGAGAAATACTGTACCTATAATCCAAGCTTGGTTTCAAAAAATTAATTTTTTTAATAAATCATTTACATCTTTCTACTAAATCTAAGGCTGTGCACATTTCTAGGACTTGATTCTATGTTATATGACACTGCCACAGCCCACACCAGCACTTCATTATGTTTACTTGGTATGAATTCACGGTGATCAAATCCCTAGACTTTTCTTTGTAATTTCTGTTTCTTGTTGTCACGATGTTCAGCAAGTATTCAAGGTTTAGTAATGACTGTATTAAGTGAAGAGAAAGCAAATTATACTGACCATTATGCAGAATTTTAAATATTATACAATAATTTTCATATGCTCATTTTTAGACATAAGCAGTACTGTACTGTATAAACAAATATGTTAAACTAGACACAACCAATAGCCTCAACAGGCCACTCCAGCTTTTCCATCAGCCCAATCATAGTCTTGTCTTAGACCTGTCTAATTAAGAAATAAAATATGTGTTGATGTTAAACTTCAAATATTAACATTAAAATCTACCATATTTACAGATGATACTGTTCAAATATTAAATTATTAAATTTCAGTAAATGTATAAGGGAAATTGGTTTGTTTGCTATGGTATCACATTTAATTCTAGGTATTCACTGTATTCATCATGCAACATATTTACAGTAATTAAGTATAGTGTACTCTAATATTAGTCTGAAGAGATAGACTAAAACTGTTTAAGCTGACTTGTAGGAATACATGTATTATTGTGATGCAAGGAACTGCTGCATCATGTACAATGATGAGGTCTGCCTATGTAAGGGTCCTTCTAAGCTCCCCCCTTTCTGGACAACAACTCTGTGTACCTACTGGCCATATGACAATGCACACGCAAACATACATGGTGAAAATGAATAACAAAATTGAACAAGAGCCCATTTCATATCACACTCTAAAAGGTCTGCTCAACATATGGCCAGCAAGTGTTCATGATTTTAAAGGTTTCATTCATATATAAATCCCTCCAGAAGTTAACAATGAAGGCTTTGAAGAAATTACAGAAGCTGATGTGGTTGATTTGTTACAATCTCACAGACAAGGCCTCATGAATAAGGAGTTACTGAAGCTGGGGCAATAAAAATAGCAGGATAGGAAAAAGAGATTGTGGAGGCTTCAGCTATCATCAAAGTGCTTGTTTGAAGCATTTTCCTGGATTGAGAATGGTCCACATAACATGCATTAAATGAAACAATCCTCTGCTACAAGGAACTTTACAAGAAGACTAGTCATTCAAAACAACTAACTTTGGTTGAAATGTTTGGTAAGGCAACCAAGAAGAAGACAAAGGAAGAAGAAGAAGGATGGGGGAAAAGAACAAGCTAAGGGAGATGAACCTCTTCTTCCTGCCTGTCCCTCCCAGTGCAGGAGTGCTGGAGAATGATGGGGTTTCTCATTATCTAAAACAGATTAATTAGGTATTAGTTGAATCTTCCTTCAGTTACTTTGGTGAAGGTTGATAGTAATTTTTATCTTTACTTGCCTTCACGAGTGGAACATGGTTCTCGCTGGACATAATCATAAACTGTTTCTTCGAGCTGTGGAATTCCAAAGTAGAGTACAGTATTAACTTCTCAAGGAGGAATGTTGATATTACCAGTTATGTTCTCAAAGAATTGTTCGACCTATTAGTAGCTAGAATCAACTTTTACTTTGTGGAGTCTATCTTTCAAGCCATGGAACTTTTGTGGAATCTCCTCCTGAGTTCCTTTTTCTGGCAGAACACTTACCAGTCAGTGAATCCGGATTCTTGCAGATCCATGGAGACCCGAACCAGAGTTATGGCATGGTGGTTGATCACTAATTAGACACTAGTTCTAAGCAGACTTCCAGCCTTCTCTTCCCCACTCCTTTGGGGGGGGGCTCTCTGAACAAGTCCTCCTCATTAGTCATTAGAGGAAGACTGTGCAGGGAGGTGGGGGAGGAAGAGATCTGTCAGGCAATAATTAATAAAGAAATTCTGGCATACTTTAGAGGCCCTGCAAAAGAGCTCAAAAGCTCCAAGTAGGTTGCTCCTAGAACAGTCCATTGTTGCTTACCTTCTGAGAGCAATGTTTTTTTTAAGTGCTTTTCGTAGTTGCTCATGCGAGTAGTCATGAATGTTGGCTTCCATTTCATGGGAAGATAGAACTAGTGGGGCAGTTCTTCCAGAGGCTGTCTGGAGGGTGACCTACAAAGAAGCATTGCATAGTAACTGACACGAAGTAATATCTATCTTCCCATTCACCAAAAATTGAAGGTTGAAATATGGCATCTATTTCATCACTGGAGGAAAAAACAATTGCCTATCACACCTCCAATGGAGTAGCCCCAAAGCCAATCTTCCACACAATCAGGACAAGCCCACTGGTGGAGGAGGCATGCTACTCTGGAGTGCTCCAGTGAAGGTATGACAGGTCACAGTAACTCCTCTCTTAAAAAGGTAGATGCATTCCTAAAAAGTACTGTGTTAAGATAATGTCATTTCCCCATAAGAAATAAAAAAAAGGGAGATGTGTATTTGAGAAGTGAGAAGGATTAAACAAAATTTTACAGGTAACTGTTTATCTTTTAGTTCATACAAAAAGGGAAGTGGGCAACAAGATCTACATAAGACAGCAAGCAACCGCTAAAAATCTTCAGTAAGTTATCTTCATAAGAACTCTGGTAAACACCAAGCCAAAATCAGCACCTCCAATAAAATAGTAATTGTTTACACAGCAAACCAACACAGCACCTTGATAGTACAATCTATAAACGGTATGATAGTAGAACCTGGCTTATGATCTGCCATTTGCATCAGCTGTTGTAAACAAACTGCCAGTAGCGCCACCAACACCAGCGGCCAGCTGCGAGACTATGGGTCGTTTACACTGTCGGCAGCACAGCAGCACAGTCTAGACTTAAACTGTCATCCGCTGCAGCACTGTTGTTTGAAGAGTTTGCAAACGCAACAATTTTCAGCTTGAAACTTGCGTAATATTTCATCCTTTTTGCTGAGGGAGCCATGGGGATAAGATATTTTCAACTGTTGTCAGGTAGGTGTGTGGGTAATGAGTGGATGCCAGCAAGAGCATAAAGCCACAATAGTTTAGTAAATTGCCATGTAGGCTTGTTCAGTGTATCCCCCAAACACTGAACAAGCCTACATGTAATACCAGTAATTCCAGAGGGGTTAACATCTGTGCTTCAACCACTTGATGTAAGCCTAAATAAGCCATTTAAAGACAATATTCGTTCTGAGTGGAATAAATGGATGACTGAGGGAGAATTCATTCACGAAGGGGGGTAATATGCGTGCTCCACCACTGGATGTGTTGTGCGAATTTGTAATAAAGTCTTGGGAAGCCGTTCGTGCAGAAACAGTCGTAAAACAGTTAAAAAAATGTGGGATATCAAATTCAATGGATGGGGAAGAAGATGATTTGTGTGGCGAGACAGTGACGAGGAGGAGGATGACAGCAAATATAATGAAGACGAAGTCGGAAGTTCCAGTGATTCGGACCCATATGCAGACCTCTTTGTGTTAGACGATGAACAGCCAGCAGACTTTGAAGGATTTTAAAATATGATCATACATGCTTTTATTGTCAATAAAATATGACTTTGAAGTAAAATTAATCTTGAAGTTAAAATTTTAACTTTTTATCTTATTAGAGTTAAGGTTTTAATTACGGTGTCATTGTGTGTATATTCAATAAACTGCCATTATGTATCATAAAACTGTCATTACCCCTGTAGTGTATGTGAACTCACAATCTATAGCGCTATCATAAAATTGCGCAGATGGCACCCATATTGTAGTACCGGGTAGTTGTCTGGCTGGCCGCCTGGGTTTAGTGGCGTTCTAATCGATTGTTTACTGTCCATCAGCTGTTGAGAATGGTGTGTGGTGTTGTGTTCGTTTAATTATACTGGAATTTACGATTTTATTATAATCTCTATGTTAAATAAGTTTACCAAATATGAATTTCAGTAGGAAATATTAGCAGCAGGCCACAGGAGTTACGCTAAATGATACACAGCGAGTGTTAGGCAGGTTGTTCCACTTGTTTACACTAGGTGGTACAGCTTCACATTTTATACTCTGAGTATAAGTCGACTCTTGGTTTTGGAGAGATTTTATTAAGCTTAAAATGTTGACTTATACGCTGCAATTTACGGTATACAGCTCCTTCCAGACTTACGATGGGGTTAGGGACCCAAATCCAGGTCGTAAGTTGAAATGGTCGGAAGTCAACAATGCTTAAATAATACATAGAAAATCTAAAATGGGTGTCTCTTTTTCTTCTCAGCACCACAAAACTCTCACTTTTAAGCTTGCCAGCCATTTTAAAGTGAATTACAAACGAAAATTTTCTCTGTGTACTGACGTTGGGACTCAAAAATACGTAATTTGACAAAATTTTGGTACGACTGAGGTAGGTCGTAAGTGCGAGTGGTCGTAAGTCAAGTAGGTCGTGAGTCGGGGAGGAGCTGTATACATTTAGAGACGTTTTCCTTTCAGTGAATTTGAATTTTTATGAGGCTTTATCTAAAGAAGGAATGTTAAATTTATCTACTGTATTTAACATTTTATTCTTTCTATTCAAACTCTGGAATACTAAACACATCAGCATTCCCACACTCAAAATATGGGTCATTGTCATGTCACTGCTTCATGTAGCAATCCTGTGATCAAATGAAAAATATACATGCATTTTATTTTTTGCTTAGTTAACCACAATTAATACAGTACAAAACTGTATACAGGTGCTCCTCTACTTACGAACGAGTTACGTTCTTGAGGCTTGTTTGTAAGTCCAACTTTACTCTTGTAGACACCAAACATATTGTAAAAATTGAAAAGATTATAGATATTTAGTACAGCTATACCCTTTAATGCAGCCTTAAAACCTGGCTCATTCTTCTCCACTTAGGTAATGTTTGTTCTATCTGGAATTTTCTTTAAAATAATCCAGTCCCATCCACATTAAACACCTGTTCTGACAGGTAACCCCCCTCAGTGATGATGTTTGTATCTCTGAAAGTTTGTAGTTGAACGTTCTTAAGTAGAGGAGCACCTGTATTGCTTAAAAGTTTAACTGTCTTTATAAACTGATCATATTCAGTATGGGAAGCCCTGAGATGCTTGCATCAGCACCACAGCATCTTTCCATGATGTAAAAAATTATTATGAAAAATGTGAAGATTTTTTTTACTGTACAGTAACTTAAAATTCTTTCATACATACCCGGTAAATAAAAACGAGACAAATCTTTTTTTTTTTTTGCTGGGGTGGGGGGAATCCGAATATTTCATATACAGGATCTTTTCAGATTGGGATTGCCTGGACTTTATTATACTCCAGTGGTCTTACAATCCTTGCATAAACAGTTTCATCTACTGCATCTTTATCTTTTTTATATGGCATGATAACTCAGTCTATATTAGTGAAAATTACTATATCATACACAATAGGAAAAAGTATATTCATACTTAGGCTGGGAACTGACAGTTTACTGCTTGTAAAGAAGCCACAAAACAAAAAAAATTAATGGTCACAAGCACTGAGTATTGAAATGTATACATTTAATTCCTTGAATAACCATGCCACAATAGCATATTGGTAATACAATGTTGTACCTCTCCATTGTAGAGCAGAAGTGGCACCTGACTAGGTGGAATCTTAGTTGTACCTATAAGTTCCACATGGTGACCTGTGAAAGAGATGATAAAGTATAATATATAGACCAGAAATGGGAAACAAAGCAATAGGTACATTGAAAAATGTATAGAGAGTGAGCTGTGTCAGAGGAAGAAAAGATGAAGAATGTACTGTACAGGTACTGTATAGGGAAATCTTGAAGCTGATACTATTACATGGGTGTGAAATGGGAACTCTGGGTGCAAACGGAAGAAGCAAATCATAAATTACAGAAATTATAAGTATGAGAGAAGTGTGTATGGTGAACTGAATACAAAGAATCATTACACTGTACCCTCATTAATTTGGAACGTTATAATTCAGATTTTGGCTTAATTTGTATATTTTTTCTTTTTTTAAATTAATTAAACGATTTGAATTCAGAATGAATCTGAAATAACTGGGCGGTTCTGAAAAGTTCATTACATTATTATAATAGGAATATATTATGAAATACAGGTATCCCCTTATTGAAGATGAGATAAGGTTCCTGAAACACCCAACGCAATGTGAAATATCATATATCTGGATCAATATAACATGGGGTTCAATGGGAAACGTTCCCAGCCAGTCCAATACCCACACGTAACAAAGAAAAAATCCAACATGACTAATATACATAAAACAATTAAACAACACAACCAATGCTCACGTCAGAGTAAAAAAAAAACAGAATGAAAGAACTTGTCACAAAACCTAAACACAATGATAGTGGCTGCCACTGTTCACATGTTGACAGCAAGAGACAAAGGACTTTACAGTCACAAAAAAACATAACAAAAATCACTTCACAGTCACCAAAACAGAGTACTGTACAATGTGAAAAGTAGTGATGTCCTCTCACTGTTGAGTGTAAAAAAAAAAAAAAAAAAAGATAAGTAACAGCACCGATACTAACTGATTATTGTTGAATTACATGATCTCGGCCTTGTGGCATCACCAGAGAACATAGCTTACTACTGTAGTGCACCAGGTAGTAAGTAGTAGGCTGCTACCAAACAGGGAGGTGCTACCGCCTGGGAAGACATTGGAAGCATAATGTGTTGTTTAATGGTAAACCCTACTGCCATATGGCATCACGAAAATTGTGACCAAGTCCCAGGTTGCTGATCTGACTTTCTGCCTCATTTACATACAATTGCAGGGTCTCAATTGTTTCTCTTTCTTTGACAACACAACATACTGTACATATATCGTTTCTCACTATTAATCTTTTTTAATTTTTTTATAATGTATAGTATAGTATAGTACAGGTTGTACCTCTCTAGTCCGGCATTCTGTGGTCTGGAAACTCCCGTGGTCCGGAACGATTTTAGTTTGTCCAATAGGTAGATAGGCATTTTTTTTTTTTTTTTTACTTATCTGAATTATTATTATTATTACAGGAGTATTAAATTTTTGCCCCTCAGGCCCCAATGTGGGTCAGTGACCTATGCCCGGGTGGGCTAATCCCCTTAAAAAAAAAAAAAGCCGCGGGAAATTAAGGTTTGTTTACATCCGGCAGTTCGGCTGCTCTCTCTCTCTCTCTCTGCTTGTCTATACAGAGTACAACATTTAACCCTTCAATATATATGAGCAGTAAATAAGTGTTGCTTTCATATTCTTATGTAGAGTAATGACGATATATTTTCACATGTGCGCACTTACATACGAGCAGTCTCACTTTTTTTTTTACCATTAATGGTTAGCTACTTATATTGTTCCATTTATTAACATTAAATAACATTACAGGTACTTCAAGCAACCATATTCATTTTTTACATTAATTTTACTACAGCTAAACTCAGGGTCTTATTTTCTTCAGTTTTATATGTAGAACCAATCAGTCACTGGTTTCGTAAGCTTTAACATAAACAATGCCGGCAGCCGTCTCGTCTCCTCTAATATTCCACGTATTATTAATAAATTGTATTGTTAATTTTGCACACACGTACATTAATTCAATAAAAACAAATTCAGAAACATTAATTAAAATATATATGAACAGTAAATAAGTGTTGCTTTCATATTCTTATGTAAAGTAATGACGATATGTTTTCACGTGTGCGCATGCGCACTTACATATGCGATCTCTCTTTTTCTTTACCATTATCGTTAGCTACTTCTATTGTTCCATTTATTAACATTAAATAACATTACTTAAAACAACCATATTAATTTTACTACAGCTACAACCAAGGTCTTATTTTCTTCAGTTTTATATGTAGAACCAGTCAGTCACTGGTTTTGTAATCAACGAAAACAATGCTATGTCATTTCCTCGTGTGTTTTAATATTCTACGTATTATTAATGAATTGTATTGCTCATTTTGCACACATAAACATTAATTCAATAAAAAAGACATTCAGTAATAAACAATAATGAATCTTTTGTACATAAGAGAAATGACGCTGTTTGCACGATTATGCACGTCGTCTGCACGTTGGCGGGCCGTTCAAACCCGTCGAAATTCAAGTTGCCGCCGTCAAAATTTTTACTTATTTATTTTTTTGTGTGTCCCAATGAAATATGTTAAGAATTAAAAACTCGTGAAATTTGAGAAGCTACTATACGACATTTAACCCTTCAATATGTCTTCAAAGAGACCATGACGCAGAGAAAGTGGTGCTAGTGCTTCCAGGCATAAGCACAAGTCACTATCTATCCAGGAAAAGGGTGAATTTCCATGGTCCGGCACCGGTCAGGTCCCGAGGTTGCCGGACTAGAGAGGTACAACCTGTATAGTATAGTATAGTATAGTATAGTATAGTATAGTATAGTATAGCATAGTATAGTGTATAGTATAGTGTATATCAGGTGCCTCAAAGAGAGCTCAGGTTCTCAACTGGCTCAGCCATGTTAATATTGTTATTATTATCCACTCTGTATCTGTATTTTTCTGGCTAAATAAACTGTTACAATTCAATTCAATACAATTCAATTATTATTGTTATTATTATTTATTTTTCAATTTTGTATTTATTATAAATTTTAATTACCCGGTACTCTGAACTAATTATTATTAGTGTAATCATTATTACGTTTTCGCGTCCCCAGGCCCCGCTGTGGGTCAGTGACCTGTGCTCGGGTGGGTTAATCCCTGTATAAAAAAAAAAAAAAAAAGGTCACTTGGCGGCACTCATATTGACAACAATAAACAAGAGCACCGCCAAGTGGACACCTGGTGCACCATCTCTCAAGCACCACTGTTGTCACTGCTTGAGAGGGTTGGTGCTTACCACAAGATCTCTCTTGAGCATATAGTAAATAATATTGTAGCATATTTATCAGAACTTAATAATGATTATTGCAGTGTATAATGCATCTCGTATACCTTGGTTTATACACTGATCAATTGTCTAAGCGCAAAAGTAGCCAAATTGAGCCATCCTGTATCAATTAATTTTAAAATAGAAATTGTAAATTAAAATGCTATAAGACAATGGCTTAATAGTGTTGTTAATGTGTGTGTGCTGTGTAAGTACCTCGTCATCTCACCTAGTCACCTCACCCCTCGCATGGTCAGCTCTCCTCTCAGTGTTGCATTTATTTATTACTGTACTATTTTCTTTATTATTACTATATGTACATTGAGAAAATATTTAAGTTTACACAGTCATTATAAATACAGTATATTATTTTATGTGGCAGCCAAGGCATGGCGCAAAAACTGAACATAAAACAAACGAATAATCGAACACAAAAATTCGGAAAGTGATGAATAATGTCAAAATATTCTGAACTCATTTAATTTGCATCTTTCAGTACAATAATTCAAGTGCCCCAGAGCCCCCTTTTTGTTAATTTATCAAGGGTATAGTGTACTTTTGCGATAATGTTTTATTAACCCAGTATATTTTCTTAATTTCCAAGTCAAATTAGAGCAATAAAATGATATTTCCACTACTTTTATGGTCAGCCACAAATTATGAATACATTTGAACACAAAATTTAAAAAAATAAGTAATAGAGGTACAGGTACCTGCAAATTTAAGAGCAAGAATTTGAATTTCATGAATTATTGTGACTCCTTTGACTTTAGTGTTGAGGGTTCACCCAAGATTGAAACTCGTAGATTTGATGCACAATACACACAGGTCTCTTTGGCTGACACCATGTTATAAAAACTTTTTCAATGTAAAACAGTAGGATGGTACCAACAAATGAATTTACCCTTAATGTGCTCTTGGTGAAAGATATAAGTGTAGAGTTGTTTCTCATCAAACAGCACTAACACGTGGCGATCACTCGGGGAATTCTCCCACAAGCAGCCTCGGCATGACCCTGGAAACTCAGGAATCTCTAAGATGTCATCATTCACCTGAAAATAATAGAATTGAGTACAGTACAGTATACTTTCAATTTAACGCAATCCGATATAACGAACTCTTGATTTAGCGGAAGGAATTTTTCTGTTATTTTTACTCGATTTAGTGAACTAGTTAGCTAAATCGAGATTAATTCTGTTAATACACTCACACCTACGGAGACAGTTCAGACACATGATATAAACAGTCTCATTCAAGATTATTCAAACACTGCTGGAGACAGCTGGCAACTCAAGACCGTTTGTTTACTATAGTACGTAGTATAAATTGTGAATGAATGTAAAAGCCCAACCAATAATTAAGCAACGGGGAACTAAGTAACCAATCACTTTTACATTTACAGTATTCATAATTTTTACTACATACTATAGTAAACAAACTGCCTTTTGTTGCCAGCTGTCTCCAGCAGTGTTTGAAAAATCTCGAACGAGACTGTACATAGAAACATTATGAACATTATTCATGACTACCTTAAACTTGGGGGTTCGGTATCTGTTTTCAATTTTTCTATAATTTCCAAACTTTTTTCCAACTGATAGCTGCACTCTTTTGAGTTTCTTCCCCACACCACTTCCTTTCTGAGACTTCTAAGAGACTTTTGGCATGATGTCTAAACATAGTAGTTAGTTGACCGATATGTAGGCGGAGAGGTAGCAGTGAACAACACACATGGTGGCACACATGCATGAAGCGGGCCATTTGGTGAGGAATTTAAAGGAATCACGCTCCATTTAGCAAACTACAGTCGACCCTCGTTAAAACGGACTAATAGGGGGGGAAGGGTGTCCGTTTTAGCCGATTGTCCGAATTAACCGATTTAGGGGTTAATATTGCATTATACAACTATGTGTATGTTCATTTGAGTGCCCCTGTCATGATCGTGATAATGGCTAACCTGAAATCCTTAAGGATTCATATTACGCTCAAACGTCCACAAAACCTTCTGAGTCCCCCAGTGGAAACGTCCCCCGTTTTCTCTGTTTCCCCATCTTTGTTTGTAGGGAACTTTGAATATAATCCACGGATTTCATAGCAGACGCTGTATGTTGAGACCTGTTGCCATCCAACCCTTTGTAATCAATTTAATTTTGCTTTTGATAGCTGAGTCAGAGCATTGTTAGTGAAGATAATAGTAGGGAATGAAACTGAGTTTATAGTCTCAGTTTCAACGTCAGAGTGTACAGTAAATTAATTCATCGGAATAGAAGTAGGTGGACTCCCTGGCCTATTTTGAGTGAGGGCGCCGCGGGCATTTCTACCGTTAGTGAGTGCCCGTCCCTTCATCCATACAGGTATGCCATTCCACTCTGTGTTGTAATTCGCCCTTCTTTAAGTGATTTGACCCAATTAATAGTTGATTGTGTAAGTGTTACAGTAACGTAGTTGATATGCTCTGAGTGAAGTCATATTTACGTCTTTAACGTCCCCTGAAACGTGATGTTGTTTTCACCGTTAGTGAGTGCCCGTCCCTTCATCCATACAGGTCCCTAACGCAGCCTAGGCCGTGTCTGTAGCGTGGATGTTGTATCCACTATGTCTGGGGAGATGTCCGAGGTCCAGTAGGATCCGTTACCTTCGTGAGACCCGGCCGTCAAACACTTCAGACTACCTATGGCCCCCATAGCTGGCTCGTCTGGCCCTAACGCTCGGCCTGCGTGGTGACCCCGGATCACCAAGCCACACACCACTACCAGCCCCCATCATTGGTGGATGAGTGTCTAACTCCCTAGGGCTATTTGTGTGGTGGGATTAATCCACTGGGATCTCCAGAGTTCGTCGGAAAGTACTCCATGGTGGCTGGACCCCATGGCTGTTGCTTGAGTATCACTCCTGATGACTGAAGGTGGTAGTGGCAGTTGCCCTGGTCTTTATGGTGCTAAGTGACTATAAGAGTTGTGTGTTATTGAGTATGTCCACCCAGTAGGGTTGGAAGTGTTATTGAGTATGTCCACCCAGTAGTGGTGTGAGTATGTTGAGCCTGAGGGCCTAGTACTAGATTTCGTCTGTTGGTACAAATAAATTCTTTCTCCTAATTTCATATTAATGTTTAAATAAATTTTGTATTTGTATATTGTGTCTATTATTTACCTACAGTATTTACCGTTATTTCTTCCCTATTGCTTGATACTATCATTACATCTACCCACGAGCCTCCTCTCGTCACGCTACCAATGGTAATAAGTATGAGAGTAAACGGAATTGTTACTGGCACACAGAGGCCCTCATACCCCGTCATAGGAGTCCGTTTTCTCTCACTTCAGCACTCCTGAGTCGTCCGTTTTCTCTTAATCTTAGAGTGCACCAGAGACTGTTATATCTTAGTAGTGACACAGAATTTGATATTGCAACTGGGGTTGCAATTGTTGAGGCAACTTAGGTATGTCTGATTACAGTTGGAATATTCAAGATCCATTGTGAGTGATGTTTAAAGCTTCAACTGTCTTTATGGTTGGTAAAACTTGTCAAGTCTGTCAGTCTGAATGGCATGTGTGAGGCCTTGTGTTTGTACAACCGCTAAATATATAAATATATAATGTTATGGTAATTATCAGAAACACATAGGCATAACGAGGTTTATTACAAAGTGATGAAAAGGATACTGTACAGTGGCTAGTCCACAAAACATGTAGCCATGTCTCTTTATTTGAGTGCCCCGTCATAGGAGTCCGTTTTCTCTCACTTCAGGACGCCTGAGTCGTCCATTTTCTCTTAATCTTAGAGTGCACCAGGGACCTTGTTATTTCTTAGTAGTGACACAGAATTTGAAATTGCAACTGGGACAATCCCAGAACCAGAAATTTGATATGGACAATTCAGATTTCGTCCGATTTATCCGAAATCCGGATTAAAGGTGTCCGAATTAACGAGGGTCGACTGTAGTTCGCTAAATCGTGTGAAAATAACAGAAAATTTATTTAGAGGAAATTATGATTTAACGGAAAGGGGTGGCTCGAATTAGTTTGTTAAACAGAGAAAATACTGTACATTAATTCATAATCCAAGTGCAGTACAGTAGTACACTAAAAATTTACATACTTTCTTCAAATTACAATATTGGTCACATTCCTTGCAAAGTAGCCCATACAAATTATTCTTTAAAATTGCAATCAACGCACTAAACATAGGAAGAGTAATTGAAAAGATGTTCATACAATAAACCCTCATAATTTCAAATTAAACAAAAAAATCCACATTTTGGAGTCATCAAATTTTTATGGTTTGGGGAAAATTTCCAAAATCTTGAATATTTCTAAAAAAAAAAAAATTGTGGCTCTTGTGGTGACCTGTACACATGATCTAGGGTCCCTGCTCACCTGTGTATCTTTTTGCCCATGTATTTAGTTCTTTGCATACACTTGGACCAATGGACGTCAACAGAAGGAGAAGGAAGTTGAAGAAAGAATGCTTAAAACAGCTTTACAAGCATCCTTGAGGAAAGGGCCCTAACAAAGGTAACTCTAAGACAACTGGTCAGTGCACCCTTATAAGATGCTAAAGTATTAAAAGTAAGACTTCATCATCACTCTTAATATTTCATGGCCATTTGAGTGGACTAGCCTGAATTACCTGAGGGCAGCTGTTGGGTAAAACCGGAGCAGGATCCCCCCCCCCACTTAAACCCATGGCTCTAGCCGAAAAAATTAAGCGGAGATCAGGTGATGGGCACAGCTCTGGTGACCCATTCGCCTTCAGGCATGTTGAAGAAAAGCTTTATAGTTGGATGCCCTTTCTAATGTCAACCCAGAGTGTAACAACAGCTAGCAAAGCAGGGTCACAACTACCTGAAACTCTAAATAAAGATTCCTTTCACCAATCATACTGAACCAAATTTGGTATGACTATCCAAATATACTCTTGGAAGTGATGCAACATTGACATTAAACTTATCTGGTAAGTACAGTAATAAATACATGCCTCAAATACAGAAAAGAACCTGTCTGCCATCAGTTGTGAAAAAAAATAGCTCCTTCCACACTCAAACCATCATCTTAGTGATGCCACACAGTTCAGCCAGGCAGTCAACTAGCTGACTGAGATGTATGTGTGCATGCCGTGACATCACATCAGGGGAGGGACATGGGTGAGTCGGCGAAGCAGTACAGTTCACCACCTCCACACACACCTATTCTCTTAATTTTTATTTTGTAGTTTTATATTTTCGTTATTTCTAAGCCATATTAGAGTACGAACTGTAATTTTTACTCTTTGCTCTGTATTTAAATGACTTTACCAGTTTTACCAGTGATATAAGTTACATGTTTATTGACATTCATTACTCAGGTTTGAATATTGAATTTATTAAGCTGTCAAAATGATTGCAATAATTTTCTTTAAATTTCAGAACAATTATTGTTATATTTTTGGGGAGTTGAAAAGTATTTTTTTATTATTATTATTATTATTATTATTATTATTATTATTATTATTATTATTATTATATAAACACAGATGAGGGATAAACACAGTAATTGGGTAACAGTCAGAAAAATGCATGGATCTGAGGAAAACGGACGTGTGAAACACAAATTTGCAGGGTCAGGGCATACTCTTTATACTATAGGTAAACACTTTACAGTACGAAACAGTCATATCAGTGAAAACAGTTATCGACAACCAGTCTTATATCTGACTTTCCGGAAACGGTCCAGATAAGCAGAGTTATGTCCGGATCCCCATAGATTCACTTTTATTAACTTTCGCATTTTCCGGGCTGGGGTCTGCCCCAATTAGTCTGATTTATCGAGGTTCTACTGTATTCTGTTATGGTACTCCCCTTCTCCTTTGTTTATCACTGTACCCGTCACCGTTTTCAAATTAGAATACAAGATATATATTTCTCCCATATGTATTTCGATCATACGCCTGGCAACAGGAGGAGAGTTACAACTGCAGACGACACTCTAACTAGCGGTCACTCACTTGCTCCCGTTGCCAGGAGTACAAAAGAAATACATATTGGAGAAATACACATCTTGTACAGTATTCTAATTTGAAAACGGTGATGGGCACAGTGATAAACAAATTATTTAAACTTTGCATTTACCTATGATAACATAATGAGAAACTTTGTATCATTAAAGAACTATAGTGAATGAAATAATATTCCCGAAAACAACAACTGATAACTCGGGCACCTATGTCCCATGTGTTGACACCTTGGGTCCTTGAAATTTTGGCTCAAGGTGAACATGTCATCTGAGGACAAATTTTGTCCTACTTATTTTATTTTTAATAACTATTTTTTATTTATTTTTTTAATAATTTTCTCCAGCTTAAGCGATATCTGCCTTAGTGGGGTCTGACTTAATGAGGTTTTACTGTACAGTATATGTTAAAAGATATCAATTTAAACTTTTTTGAGCGTCACTTTCAATGAAATGGTCCCGATTAGACCCTATTCCTATTAATTTTTCTGGGATTTAATTCCCCTTTATCCGTGGAATCACTATCCGAGTCTTTTTACTGGTGCCCATTAAGCTCGAATAACGAGGACCCCCTGTATATTAATTTAGGAGGCATCTGCAGTAACATATAATGGAAGAGCCTGCAGGCATCAAGGACAGTAAGAATAGAAATATCATTTAATTTCTACTGCAACTACTGAACTCATCTATGAAAAAAACTCTTAGAACACTGAACAAAAATAATTACTTAAAGCTTCAATGAACTCCTTTGATGACCTATGCACAAATTTTGAAAAAATCCTTATAATATTGCACAGTCTACTTACAAAAATTAAATATAAACTCACTGGGTTGTACATGTAACCTTCGCCTTTCGAATCAACAAGGACCAGACGGCGACCTGATGGCTCAGCATAGATATTACTGACACTAGTTGTATGGCGGTAATCACTTACTGTCTGCCAATCTTCAATAAAGAAGAAGTAAAGCCCTCCAGTCTGCAATATAATAATCTTATAAACATTTGCCACTTTAAACCAACCAACAATACAAATATTTTGGTGCCAAAGTATACATCAGTATAAAATAGAATATTAATGACTGTGAGAGTCAAGCTCTGACAGTAACTGGTTGGAATCTAATGACTCTCATTTAGAGCATTCAGATTATAAATATAGTTATAGGACCACTTATCCAGCATCCTGGTATCCAAAATGCTCCAAAAACCTTCTATATTCTGGAAACAAATATATTTAAAATGAGAGACAAGTAATTCCCATGCAGGGACATTTCTAACCATTCCCTACCTGTGAGCTGTATGCTATGTAATGGTTATTTTTTTTAACTTGTAATTTTGGGTAGATATACAGTATGGATTTTTTTTTTAGTTACACACACACTCAGTCTTATATACAGCAAGTGCAAAAAAAAAAAAATAATAAAAATAATAATAATAATAATAATAATAATAATAATAATAATAATAATAATAATAATAATAATGATAATAATAAAAGAAATACAAGTACGGAGTATACCCCATAAATTGACATCCCAGTAACCACCGCTTCGCATAACCAACGATTAGATATTGGGGAAAGACCCCCACAAGTTTTGTTGATGCCATGTTGATCCGGCAATTGAGGGAGGAGCACCAGAGCTGCTCTGAATTTGGCGGGTGGTGGTTAGATGTGAATTCTTGCCACAAGAGGACTCTGTGCACTGCCTCCGACTCATTCCCACCTTCCTGCACTTGTTTACATCTACCCCGTTGTCTCCGACTGCGTGTTTTTTCGTTATTTCCAACTTTGTGTGTTAGGCAATCATGCCTAAATGACACAGTGATAGTTTCTCTTATGCTGCTCCTAAGAGGGCACATAAGTCTGTGAGTCTTACTGTCAGGCATGATGTGATAAGACATAATAAGAGTGGTGATAGACCAGCAAAGATTGGTAGAGAATTGAACTTGCTACCCTCAACCATCTGTACCATCCTCAACACAGGTAAAAAACAGTGTCAATTTATGCTTACATTCCTTATTTAATGCTTACCGGGTACTTGGAAAATCGTTCCCAAAGACGGAATTTTCCAGAAAATTCCAACTGTGGGAATGATTTTCCAAGGGGCACATTTTCTGGAAAATTTTGAGAAAATTCCAGGATGAGGGATTTTTTCCAGCTTTGAGAGATGAAATAGTGCATCATTTTGGAACTTCCGAGAACATTTTTCCATTACCCGGAAAATTTCGGGATGAGGGATTTTTTCCGGCTTTTAGAGATAAAATAATGCATCATTCTGGAACTTCCGAGAAAATTTTTCCGTTACCTCGAAAATTTCGGGGATGAGGGATTTTTTACAGATTTGAGAAAATCGTCTTGTTACCCAGAAATCTTTCATTTCCAGAAGTGCTCTGCACCAATTGTTCCGGCGAACAGAGATATATCAGGAGTAGATGGGAAATTTTGAGGGTAGCCGATCCCTAACCTCCCGAAATTGTTATATTCTTATGGGATTAATTGCTTCGATAACTGTTGATTAACTAACTAACAACTTTTCACAGTCCGCATATGCATTGGTTATCGGGGTATACTTGTACAAGTAAGCTCCCCATTAGCCGGAATCTCAAGTCCCCAGAACTCTTTAATAGCCAGAATGAATTTTGAGCCTTCCAGGAAAACTCTCTCTATTCTGAGCATGGGAACGAGTTTCCGAGGATGAAAGCATGCGCAATTTCTGGAACAATTTCAAGAAAATCTCTCCGTTACAGCCACAAGAACAAATTTTCAGGCAGTTCTGAGAGTTCAACTTTTTTTCATCACTAGGGAGGATCAAGGCATTTTCACTATTTTGGGGGCACACTGGCCCCAAAGGTTAGAGTCTATTGCTATGGAAAGAACACGTGTAAGCCATTCACACAAACCATAATACCACGCCACATAAGAGGGATACGCGGGAACATAGACTAAGTAAGGCAGGAAGCTTTGGAAGCTGGCAACCTGTGCAATGATTCTACAGCGCTACCAATGCCACTTAACAGAGCTGCCAGCTCATGTTGTTGGTGAATTCAGTTACATGACTAACTGCGTTAATCCTAAATTACACGCATGTAAATTAATAAAAAGAGTATAAATGGAAGGTGCACATTATTTCAAAAACATGTAAAATATATTTGCATAAAATACAATGTGGCTGTAAATGTACTGTGTATACAAACAGGTGTTGACTGTTATATGATGGATCTATATACGATCGATCAGTTTTACTATGTTAAAAAATTAACACCACTTACTGCTATGCAATAGCTAAGATCAGATTTACGATGGTCGCTAACTGAATGCTTTTCCTGCAATGACACTGCTATGAAAAAATGATGTGCAATATCTTGTAATATTCCGAGATATGAAGACATTCTCAGAATGGCATAATACTTGCAACCCACACGGGATATGTGAATGGCTCTGCCCCACCCCGGTGACTGCCTGGCTTATTTGCTAAGCTGTCACATCGCCCAGAGGATGGATTGCATGTAGAAGCTATTCTTTGTACATGGAATAATATATATTGTATAGTAGTGATATCCCCATTATCCTGAACAATTGGTGCAGAGCAATTCCGGAGATGAGAGATTTCCAGCTAAACAGACAACTTTCTCAAACCCGGAAAAATTCCTTATCCCCGGAATCTTTCCCGATTACTGGAAAAAGTTTCCAGGTGTCTAAACTAGACATTTAACAGACACATTAACCCACTTCCCCAAAACGTTTCTGGATGCTGGAAATGTTTTGCTTGAGTCTAAACTACTGGAGTCCATATATGTAGTTCTAATTAGGTTAGAAACTCCATTTCTTTACTACAGAATAATAATCCAGAATAGTTTATCTAAAAGTTTGATTAAATAAATAGTTAAAAATTAAAAATCTATATGACATGGGCATGAATGAAGCTGTGTGTTACAACAAAGAATGGTATTTTCCACTCCCATGGAGCTGTGGAGGAATAGTGGGTCTCATGTAAGTGACCTGACCTAACCTGACCTGATGCAATGTCAGGTAGAGGTAGGATGGATTAGTGGTCTCATATTACTGACCTTCTGATGGAATGTCAGGTCACCCTTTCTTGAGTGGGGGCTTAGCGGGTCTCATGACCTGTCTTGAATAAACTCAAAACCAAAATATTTTTAAGGAGATTGTGATGAGCATAAGTATAAATGAGCAAAGTTGTATCCCTTCAACATTACGTTACATAACATTTTAAAATATGGAGTGAGAAAGTAGAAAGGTGTGGGTGATTAGAGAGATGGAGTGGAAAGGAGTGTTGCCAAGCACTCCTCAACAGCTGATATTTAACTTGCTACTATGCAGTCATACACAGCAACTTAGTCATACAATAAGACCCTCACTCCTCATGCTTGCTGCCTTAATTCCTGTGTGTGTGTGTGTGGTGATGGTGTGGGTGATGAGGGGTGAGGGTGATGTTGGAGTGTAATAATAATAATAATAATAATAAATAATAATTAACGGTTTATTGAAAAAATTCTGCAGCCCGAAGGCTGAAAATATACATTGGACATAAATGACTTATTACATACATTGGTGGTTTAACAAAACCCTTCATTAGAGAAAGGTAAAGGAACATACAGTGAACATACAGATTAATGTAGGTGTTGAACAGCAAACTCGTAGTGTAGTAAACTCCCTCCTAGATGGTGTTAGGAGGAACTCACGTGCTGTAGTAGTTCCCTCAGATGGTGTTATGAGGGACCTGGCGTGGTGTAGTAATTCCCTCACAGATGGTGTTATGAGGGGCCTCACGTGGTGTAGTAATTCCCTCACAGATGGTGTTATGAGGGACCTCACGTGGTGTAGTAATTACCTCACAGATGGTGTTATGTGTGTGTGTGTGTGTGTGTGTGTGTGTGTGTGTGTGTGTGTGTGTGATGTAGGGGTGTATGTGTGTAATTTGTGGGTAGTGTAGCACAGTATGGGTGATGTGGGGTGAGAGTGAAGGAGCCGAACCTTTTTGGGGGGTAAAGGTCAAGGGGTGTGAGGTCAGTTCCCCCTCTTCCTCCTCAAGTGTGGCTAATTGTGATAGGGAGATGAATTTGATACCATAATGATCCCTAATAAATTCTCTAAGAGGCATTTCCAATAAGATATCCTTTAATGAAATATTTCAATATAATATAATGATGGGAATTCCATTATTTTAAATAAAATAAATTAAGAAATTTTAATACTGGGGTCAATAAAATACGTTCTATTTTTGTTAGAATCACCAATTTTTATCAAAATAATCCTCTAATACTTCATCTAAAAATTTGGTTAAATAGATATATTTTAAAAAACAAAAGCTCTAAATGATATGGACGTGAATAGAGCCATGTTACAGCAAAGAGTGTGCTATTTTCCAAGAGTAAACAATGCAGCTCGTAGGAGCTGTAGTTGTTTACTCAAACACCACTGTACAAGTACAATATTGTTCATACTGTAAACATATACTGTACTCACCAGCAGACACTGTTCACTCAGCTGATTGTAATGCTTTAATGTAATCTCGTCTTAACACTTGCGAAGGAGGTTAGGTAGGAGATTAGTGGGTCATGTTATTGACCTGACCTGATGCAATATCAGGTCACCCATTCTTGGGGTGGGGGATTGGTGGGTCTCATGACCAGAAGATGTCTTGAATAAAGACAAAAGGTAAGGTGCTTCAGTGTTTCCCACTTACTGAATGTACAATATACTGTAGTATACATAACTGTAATCACTTTTTATGTTCTTAATGCTGCTTTAACACTGTATTCTTGGCTGATTTTGTTCTGGTACAATAATATACAGCACTGCACAACACAAATTGTACACAAAAACAGCAGCTAGCGAGGGAACAACCTTCTACAGTGGCACCAGAATATGAACTAAGCGATCTAAGCAGCTGGGCCACCCACGCATCTGGCATGTGGGGATGGGTTGGAGCATGATGCAATCTTTTGAAATGCCCTGAAAATTTATTCCCAGACCCAGAAATAAAAATGTGTTAAGATTTTAAAGAATTTTTCGTGAGATTTTCAGAAAATGCACCTGATTTTCAACCTCGGAATTTGTTCCAAAATCCAGAATTCTGAGAATTTTCCAGAAAAATTCCGAGCATATTACAATTCCGACTATTGGAGTTCTGGTTTTGAGGGATTCCAGCTAACGGAGATATTACCAGTAAATGTGAGGAATAAATAATAACAATAATAATAATAAGTAAAAGAAAAAAATATATATATATTGCATTGCCATTTGGCAACTGTTACTACACACAGGACACGAGACAGAGAATAGCTTTGAAACCCTATTCCATCCCCCCCTATCTGTGTGATCCTGCGCACGTCGGAATGTTTATTTTCTTTAAGTTTTTTTACCTTATAATATAGTTTTTGGGCACATTCTGTATGAAAGATTGAGTGTGCATGTAATACAGTAAAAAAAAATTGAAGAAAATTACATATATCTATCCAAAATTACGAGTTGAAAGATAACCATAGCATGGGTCGCAGCTCATATGAAGAAATTTTTAATTCTTTATGTCTTTGACCTTATGATAATTTGTTTGTACATTCTGCATGAAAGATTGTGTACACATGTACTAATGGTAAAAACAAAAAATTAAATGTCTACCCCCTGCTTTGTGACAAGTCCTGCACATGTAAGAAACATATACAGTATTCCCTTTATGACCGGGTAAAAGAACTGGGATGTTTCAAGAATATATCTACTGTATTCTGATATAACAACTGCTACAGACATACAAAACAGTTGTTACATCATATAATCATATCTAGTAATGCAGAATTTTAAGAGTAAGACCCACAAGAAAAGACTGACATTTCAAGACTTATGGAATGGACTACAGTGAATTCACATGAAGCACAGAGGGTAATCCATTCATTTTTTATGATGTGTATATAAGTCGAGAAATGAGTAAGCATATACAGGTATGAGTATTTGCACTTGTTGTTTTAATGTTTTCCCAGCATCTACTGTCTTGTACCAGTCTCCCTTATCATTTTCCCACTTTCAATGAAGCCCCTGTATCATTTGATACTTACCACTGAAAAGTGGGATGGACATTACAATAATATGGAGATAGACTGATATAGTAAACAGAAAATAACTTTAGAGCAGTTTGGACATATGGAAAAGAAAATGATTATATACTGGCAAAGAGAATGTAGTAAATAAGTTCTCACTTGCTATATTGACTGAAGAAGAACCACTACCATCCTTATTATAATAAAATTAAGTGACAACTTACATCAGTTGAGTATATAAGAAAATCTGCAGTGAGGGCATGGTCTGTGATGTGCATGTCTGCTTGGTCTGCACTTGGGAAGAGTCGTGATTCCCGTTCTTCATCCTCTCCCGTTTCACCTTCCAGCTGTCATATAAAAATCATTTTCAGCATGACTCTTCTCTGTAAATCATAATATTGATGCTGTTATTAATTTAACTGGTATATAATACCCACGAAAAGAAGTCTAAATAAAGTATAACTTATGGGAGGTACAACAAATTTCCAGTACTCATCAACAAAAGGTGTTCGCTCACCAAGTGAAACTGTATCTTGCCCTCGTACAAGACTGAAGCATAGTCAGAATTCACTCGAACAGATGTAATAGTACCCAGATACTCTCTATCTCTAAGGAGCGCAGCAGAATCCTCTCCAAGTGTGTAAATCCAAGCTCGATTGTTCATTCCTACCATCAGATGATAAGGGCCCACACCGAGGAAATTTGGTTCAACATCAACACTCACTGTCACTGGTTGTTCCTGTTGATAAACTGTACTTGTAAACAATGAAATTTTTGGTACAATATAATTAATGAGCTAAATTTACATGGAGAAATAAATCTTAATCTCACTAATATAAATAAATTTCACTCTCAAAATTACTTGTGTCATTGATTCTTTTGCTATATGTGCATATATAAAAACAGTACTGTATTTCAAATCAAACTGCAGTTAATCCTACTGCCAAAGTTAAGAAAAGGTTCACACACCTTTTCTACAATATTAGCTATTGTCACTTCCAGTAAAGATGTGAGATAGGCAACTCTTGAGCCATGAGCACCTCCAAGTACTGGCAGTTTGGTCAGGTACACATGGATATTTCCTGCACAAAGAAAATTAGTAAGTGAGCAAAATCCCTTTTTCTGGCCTATGATAGACAAACTTCATAGCTAGGAAATGCAAATATCTATTCAAACTGTTTACTAAACAATCGAAAGTTGCACAAATTGAGTCATCATGCCATCAAATATATTAAAAGAAGAGAAGAAGAAAACTGTTAGCAGAGAAATTAAGAAAAGAAACCTAAGTTATGAGTAATTAAATACATTGCCATATCTCTACTGGACTTGCATTCAAAAGCCATAAAAATTTTTTTAACATACACACAACATAAAGAAATCATGTAACTGATCATATACAGTGGTCCCTCGGTTAACGAATACAATTCGTTCCACAGTCGTTCGTTAACCAAAAATTTCGTTAACCGAATCTTTTATTTCAATGGGATATTGGGTAATTGGTTCCAACTCACAGCAAAAGTATACATACAAAGTACTGCATACCAGTAATAGAATTAACAAAACATTAAATATAAACTAAATATAGTACTGTACTGTACAGTATACTGTACAATAATAAATAAAAAGCAATAGAATACTATAATTTAACTTACTTTGAGGTGTGTATGTCGTACTCCCGACAGCTTTGTTTATATATCAAACAGCTGATTGTAGAGGCAGTCGATGATGACACGCCATATCCTTTACAGAGTGCATTGGTTCTAATGCTTTCTTTAAGTTTCATGATAATTTCTGCACTGTATATTATCAATTATGTTAACTAAATTTCAGAATGCCCAATAATTTTAATGTAAAAATGCAAAAATATGCAAGAGACCAACAAACTGGATGTTCACCCCAACTGTAAACAAAGTTAAACTGAGAAGTGTTGTTGGGTGATTCAATCAGCTGATTGGCACAAAAAACTGTTCCCTGTACTGTATACAGCTCCTCCCCGACTTATGACCTACTCGACTTACGACCACCCGCACTTACAACCTGCCTCAGTTGTACCAATATTTTGACAAATTGCGTATTTTCGAGTCCCAACGTCAGTACACAGACAAAATTTTCGTTTGTAATTCCCTTTAAAATGAATAATTTAAATATAAAAGTCATATATTTTGCACAAGATATAAAAATTAATCACTTGTAGTGATTTAATAGTTCTAGTGTATATGTAAGTATACAGTACAGTATATAAATAGTGATTTAAGGCTGATTTCGAGGATTTTTAAGTGTGTTTCTGACTTTATGCATTTTTTGGCTTTACTTTGTATGAACTTTTTCTGTGAGTTGGAACCAATTGTGTTTGTTAATCAAGGGACCACTGTATTATTTTTGCATTTTCGACTTACGACCAATTCAACTTATGACCTTATTCAAGAACACAACTTTCTTTCTTTATATTTACTCCACTGGAAACAAATGTAAACATAGAACTGATATACTGTATTGGCGGACTGGCCGATCAGCTAATGTGCACAACAAAACGTGTTTGTTGTAAGGATTTCGTTAATCGAAGTTTTGTTCATTAATCAAACTGAAAATCCTTACGGGAGCTAATTAGTTAACCGAAATTTCGCTAATCGAATCGTTCGTTAACCGAAATTTCATTAATCGAACCATTCGTTAACCAAGGGACCACTGTATAATACTGCAGCTTTAACATCAATAACTGCAATATGGTATAGCTCCATTGTACATACCATTTATACACAAAGTATGAAGTTCTAAAGAAAACACAGAGAGAGACTGTGTGTGTGTGTGTGAACAACATCCCTGTCACCTATGCAACAAGATCTGTGCCTCTAAGATTGGACTCCATAGTCATCGACAGTGGCATCAGAGGAATAACACATAACTCATCAATCATCTCATCTGGAGCAACGTCATCATCAATTTCGATGGACTGCCATAAGCAAGCAAGCAAGCAAGCAAGTGTGTGTGTGTGTGTGTGTGTGTGCATGCATGCGTGTGTGTGTGTCATGGGAAGTGCAAGAAATGAAGAGTACACTCGCCACAAAAAGTTCTCGAACGTTCTAAGAATCATAAAATATGACAAAATGAACAAGAAATTTGAACATTACTTTCTAAGGAACTTTTATTGCAAATTAAATTTCTTTTCAGCTATAAATATTGTACTCTAAGGACGAGCAACATATATTCTTACAAAATATTGGGTCACTTCATAACCAGGCATACCAACCATTCTGAGATGACACGAGCCATAATGCTCATTCTGAAATCTGTCGTGCCCAGTTGTTCAAGAACTTTTTGTGGCGAGTGTGCATAACAAACCTTATTACCATATTCCACAACTTGAGTCCTACAACCTTGTAGGAGTGTTTTGATACAAGTAGTCTTTCCTTATTATCTGCAGGCAGGATTACTGTTTCCATTGTAAAACATTGTTATTTAGTCAACTGTATAAATGAGCCCATGCATTTCCATGCTTGGAATTGACTGTCCACAGCTAATAAATGGATCATGATGCTACATGACACAGAGTAAGAATACTGTTAAGGCTTTCATGCTATCAATTACATTACAGTAAACCCTTGCTATTCGCAGGGATTAGATTCCAAAGAATGGCGCGAATTGGCAAAACCGTGAACAACAACTTGTATTACCTTAGTGCACTACTGTGAACCTATACTGTGTATGGGAAAATTGAGTCACCAATATTACTCTCCTTCAGTGGAAGTTTGGAGCTTGATGAAGTGTGCAGTACAGGTAACTCGCATTTTAAACGTGTTTGATTTAAGCGTTTTTGGAATAACGCGATTGTTCAATTATTACCAAAAGCTAATTTACAAGCACCTATTTTTGAAATAACGCGGTCAAGACAGTTTAAATTTGCGCTCGTATTCGCCTGGTCGCCTGGCAGTGGAGTCGTGTGTGATGCCTGGTGAAGTGCTTGTAAGTTATTACTATAAAGTCGCAGTCATATCAACATCAACGATTTTAATACTGTATTATTAATAATAATAATAATTACAGTGAACCCTCACTTTACGCGGTCACTTGAACCCACGACAGCCCGCGTAAAGAGAACAACATAACATATGGGATTAATTGAAATAGAGACCAGGCCGACCCCCAAACTCCACTTTTTCCGGCACAATACCTATGTTCTAGTAAAAATAACATCTTAATTTTATGATTTTACACGCACACAATTAATATTTAAGAGAAATAGAGAAATACAGTCGCCAAGTTAATGTCCATTCAAATAATGGACTCAACTCCCTCCCCCTCTTCTCACACTCGCTGGCTCTTCCCTCTCTGAGAAATGATTGGGGGAAAACACTAGATTTTAAGGTATAGTAATTAATAATACCTCAAACTAAAGTTAAGATAATATAATTGACATTGCTGGATTCCTTGTAATACCAGGAATATTTTGAATATAAATGTCATATATTTTGCACAAAAGATAACATATTTACTCAGAGTAAACAAAATACTTACATTAGATCTAAAATTTGTATGTCTAATGCAAAATCTATGATGTTTATATTCAAAATGATCATCAAATTGTAAGAATTCCAGCAATGTAAATTATATTCTCGCCGGGTAATTTGTATGAATTTTATGAGCTAAAGAAATATCTTCAGTAAATAAAAAAAAATATTCTTCACGACACTCTCTGTCAATCAAAACACCCCACCTTGCCTCCCCTCCCTCTTCCCACCACGCCAGCTGGGTCGGTCGGTCCCTCCCTCCCCCCCACCCCCCACTTTCCCTCCCTACCAGAGAAATGTTTGGGAGAAACCAGAATATTTACCTTCTTAGTAATAAATAGTACCTCAGACTAAAGTTAGGATAATATAGTTCACATTGCTGGATTCCTTGCAAGACCAGGAATATTTTGAATATACACGTCATATATTTTGCACAAAAGATAACATATTTGCTCAGAGTAAACAAAATACTTACAGTAGATCTAAAATTTGTATGTCTAATGCAAAATCTATGATGTTTATATTCAAAATGATCATCAAATTGTAAGAATTCCAGCAATGTAAATTATATTCTGGCCGGGCAATTTGTATGAATTCTATGAGCTAAAACAAATATCTTCAATAAATAAACAAAATATACTTACCCAAATACTATCTGTCAATCAAAATACCCCACCTCCCCCCCTCTTCCCCCCTGCTCCCTGGGTCCCTCTCTCCCTCCCTACCCCTCACCCCAACCTTCCCTCCCTACCAGAGAAATGATTGGGTTATAACAGTATATTTACATTTTTAGTAATAAATAATACCTCAGACTAAAGTTAGGATAATATAATTGACATTGCTGGATTCTTTGCAAGACCAGGAATATTTTGAATATGCACGTCATATATTTTGCACAAAAGATAACATATTTGCTCAGAGTAAACAAAATACTTGCATTAGATCTAAAATTTGTATGTCTAATGCAAAATCTATGATGCTTATATTCAAAATGATCATCAAATTGTAAGAATTCCAGCGATGTAAATTATATTCTGGCCGGGTAATTTGTATGAATTTTATGAGCTAAATAACAAAATTATACTTCACCCGCGTATATGAGTAGATGCACCGCGTAAAGTGGGAATTCCGGTTCTGGCAGGGTACCGCGTAAATGTAGAAACGCGTAAAGAGAAACCGCGTAAAGCGAGGGTTCACTGTATTATAATAATGTAATAATAAAGATTATTACTAATAATGATGAAGATAATGATGATAATGAAGTATTCTGTACAACAACTGTGACGACGTCCAGCAAGCTTCCGGTGTATCGCTTTCTCAGTTCACGCCAGCACTAATTTTTCTCTGTGCTCTCATTTGCATTGTGTGTTTATCAAGTACCTTTTTAGTGCTCAATGCTGTTTTTCCCATTGAGCATGTGTGGAAAACGTCCATCTGCCTCCTGTGAGGCTCCTAAAGCTAAAAAGACACAAAAAACAATGGCAATGGACGTGAAATTAAATGTGATCACCCGCCTTCAGAGAGGAGAGTTTGTGTCGGAGGTTGGCCACATGCTTGGTTTAAGTGAGAGAACTGTTTGTACCCTGTGCGGTATATGATGGTTCCCCTAACCTGTACCATTTACATGTATTCTTATGGGAAAACTATGTTTAATTTACGCATTTTTTAATTAAGCGGTGGTTTTCAAGAACGTAACCTCTGCGTAAAACGGGAGGTGGGAGTACTGTACAGTAGGATGAAATATGGTTACTGAAGCACAGGGTGATCATCAGGATAACTGTTGGAAGAGGGTGATGCAGTGGTGGTTGGTGGAAAGGCAGGTGGTGGAGAGGAGCGTGGCATGGGAGGTGGGTGGTGGGGAGGCAGGCGGTGCGTGGCGAGGAGGTGGGTGGTGGAGGGGTGGCAGCAGCTGAATGAGTAGGTGAGGGAGACAAATCAGCTAAGCAAGCCGCTGGTTCTTTCTTGAAAACATCGTGACTGGTAGTTGTTTCCTCTTGGCTTTGAGGTTTCTAAACGTTTCACTCCACTAGCATCACAAGCACTGACACTAGGCAGTCTTCTAAGGGGCACTTCACAGAGAAACATAAAAGTTTTGAGTACAACACAAAAGATGCTGCATTGCAGGCAATGGTTGAGCGCAAACAAAGGGAGAGGTGAGAGGGGAAACACTGCAGGTGCATGGGGATCACAAGTTGTGCTGTAGAAGAGGTTCTAAGCTAGCCACCATCTGCTTACCGCGAATAATCGAAATCGCAAAATGCAAACCCACGAATAGCAAGGGTTTACTGTACTTTGTTTGCAGATAAATCATATCAATGAGACCTTTTAAAATATGAAGAAATGGTTACCATTAGATGAGGATAAAGGTAAACTTGGACAACACATGTGGCATGTTCTGGGCAAGTTAGAAATCATTTACTATGGCATGTATTAATGAGCTTGTGTACTGACATAAAGGCCCTGAAATGAGTGTACATGAAAGGAGAGATATTTCTTTATCGATCAATTTTATAATAAAATAAACAGAATGCCTAAACCAAGAAAAGGATGTAACAGATATCAGTTATAAATAGACCAATCATGAAAACAGACATGCCTACCTGAAGGTGTGGCAACAGCTAACAACTGGCCATCATCCGACCATTCCAGCCATTCTAATCCTCGTTCATCGTCCAGTGTTATAACAGCAAATGTCTCCTTTAAGTCTGACAGTTCATGTATCTTTATGCTATAAAAAAAAAGTACATGTTTATTCACATGTTTCTTATTTTTGAAAAAAAAAAATTAAATTATGGTTCCAGTAAATGCATTTCTGACCAATACAATTATATCAGTTATTTCATCTTATGATCATTACTGGCTCATGCCCAGGGCACCCCCAGTCCACCCAGTTTTGAATGGGCACCTAATTTTACAACTGGTGGTCAAGTGGAGTGCCAGTCACTGTCTGTTTGTGTGCCAAGAAAAGGCTTAGTTTATAATATGCAGCATCCACAGTGCACCTACTAGACCTTCAAACCTGATTGAATCTTTCTAGTGTTTCAATTTTTTTTTAGTGAATATCTATCATCTATACTACCATGTTATAATCTACCTACAGTCCTACTGCATACACTTATATATTATACTCTATCATCAAAGAGCCATCTTCTCCAAATTTTAGCAACTCTTACATTCAGAAGCTGCTAATTATGTGTAATTTTTTCTAAAATTTAAAACTAATGTATAATTTTTGAGGGATTCCAGATCTAGCTCTCCTTGGGGAATTTGGCCTGTAAGAACCCTCAATACCCACTGACAGCAAGCCTTTGATAACAGTTATCCACCCAGTGCAAATCTAATAGAGTAAAGTCCTGTTATCCAACTTCAAATTTTCCATTTAATTCAATTACATATGTCCACTTATCCTAATCTACATAGGATGCTACAGGTTGGAGTTAGTCCTAATAAAAAGATTTGACATCCCTGTACAAAATAAGAGCCCAGAGAATTGGTGGAATGGGGTTGTCAACTGGTCAGTTAGCACATTACCATCATACTTACATTGAATAACTTTTGTCTAACATAAACATAGAAAACCTATGCATCCCAACTTACACATTATCTCCGCATGAGGCAGCTTTGCTAAGAGTGGTAGATATGGCAATGTCATTGAGGACATCTCGGTGATTTTTGGCCTGAAATAATTCTTGTCCTATCTCTTTCAAGTGGGTTGAAATAACTACAAAGAAACCACCGGAGAAGCCTAATAAGATGTAACCGTCACCAAACCTACAAGAGAAAATAATGAATTACAAATGTATTACATATTGCATTGCCCAAACCTGTTTTGCACCTTCCATACCTTATTTACCTAATGGCTACCCAAACTAGAGGTGGCCATGCTGAGGGAAGGAGACCAGTAGCCTATGTAGGATCCCTCTAATGTTCTTGATAGTCTTGTCTAGGGCTACTTTAATGCCCAGTACTGTTCTCAATTCCACAGCTTGGGTTGGTAGACTGTTCCATAGATAAACCACCCTCTGTGTTTTTTAGGATGGGTTGGCATGATTACGTGGAGTGCCTTCGCATCGCAAAAAGTTGGAAGCAGTAACGATTATTTTACTTTAACTAATTTATTATGAGCTTAAATAAGCCAATCAGTGTTAGTGTGATATGCTGGTTGATATTTTGAACAGTTGTGCCTCCCTACTGATATGGACGTCCGAATAATGGATTTCGACTGAATAAACTGTAGCTTAAAAAAAAACCTTGGACTTACAAACTCACCATTTATAAGCAACAATGTTTCCATATCTGTTCTGGAATGCCAGCTCAATGGGATTCTCAGGGTCATTAAGGTTGTACAGGAACAAAGTTTTCTTGGCAACAATGAGGCTCACCTGTAAAATTTAACAATGATGAATAAAAATTGAGCTCCACTCATACACAAAATGATTTAGACAGAGGTCTTGCATATGTTAAGAATAATACTCACAGCCAATCCAACAAAGCAAAGGGGACATCTAACATAAGGAAGAGATATAAAGCATGCCACCCCAATATGACTTGCACAGGTCTGCCATGAGAATTCCCAAGATTGACTTTAAAGGTAGCGTAAACGTGTGGGAGAGACAAAACAGAGAAGAGAAAAAATAGCAAGACTCCAGACATACATTTTTGTCATCATATTGTGGTGAATATCAAAATTGTCTTTCTTACCAATGTGACAGAAATTCAAGACCAGGGTAAGCACTGCTCAAAAAATAGAATTATAATCTCTGTTGAGTTATAAATGCATATGCAAAGTTAATTATCCATTTTCCATGCAGTGAGTAACGTTCTGTCATTACATTAATTCCTTCTACACACAATACTAACCGTATTTTCAGCCATGGCTCTCTCGTCCTGCTTCATCTCAGAAAATTGTATGTCCGATGGTTCACCACGTAGAGGAGTTGTACGCAGGGTGTCTCCCTCGCTGCTGCTGATAGTGAGAATCTTGTCCTCTCCACCCAAAGCTAACAGATTCCCAGAAGACCAACTTCCACTTTGGATCTTCCGGCTGTGTTTGCCAACAACTGGGATACGCCTAAAAAATTTACATTCATTATCTGAGAGACTTTCATCTACAATATACGTAGAGTAATGTACTGTTTACAGTCATATATTGTACAGTATCTTCTAACAATAGTAAAATCTCATTTATTCGATTTATCTTAACTCACAATTTCCATAACCTTATTTGAAAGCCATCTGTTTCTTCTCTTTTCTTCTTTCAAAATATTCCCTCATTCTTGGTTATTCACAAAAAACCTGGGTCTACCACATTAATGAAAAAGATATTCTTGTGTTCTGATGGCTGTCCATAGCTTGGGGGAAGTGGATTTCACAAAACCAAACACCTTCTTCTTTGGGTTACATTTTCCTCCTTTGTCAAGTCACGTTTTGCTTCCACACAAACTCACCTGATTATTTGTTTTACTTCTTAAAAACACCGTGGTTGGTAATTACGCAGTTGGCAAGACTAAAGGCTTAATGGGAAATAGGGGATTAGGTTCCATGAATGCAGATAACACTTGTCAAAGCCTAAATAAGTTGCCTGTTTCTTCACTAACGATACCTGTATTGTACATTTAATTAAATTTGAGTCAAATACATGTAAAGTAGCTTAATATAAATTAAACAGTAATATAAATTTTACAGTACATGTCCATGAAAGTGGCATGCTGCTATTAAATAAGAAAAATGAAGAGCACGGGTGTGCATGTGTGTGAAGTGAACGTAAGTTTGGGACGTATGGTTTCACCTTAAGGAAGATCCAGGCAACCTTGATAGAGGTTGGAAGTTCAAAGCAGTCAAATGTCAATATGAGAGTTGGTGTAGATGGAACCTGTCTACTTTCACCACTTTTTGGACTAGGAGCTCCTTTAAATGCTTCTCCTCTAAGTATTTAGAGCAGGGGTTCTCAAACTTTTTTCAACCAAGGACCCCTTATATACCATGATGCATACAAATACCGGTATTGTCAATAATCAAAGAATAAATCATAGTCCAAAGCATTTGTTCATTTCAACCCAAATCCAAAATATCCTGCGAATTGGAATCGCCAAATCTCTCACAAACGTTAAACGCACTATTTCTCAAAAACTTTTCGCGGACCCCAGTTTGAGAATCACTGCTTTAGAGAACACCACCCCCTGATACTGGTTAAAGGTGGCATGCGGAGTACAGGAGACGGGGGCACCGGGTACCTCATACAGGGTTCGGAGTCGAGCACTGTCCTTGGGGGAGGAGACCTACACTAGGAGTGGATATTTTGGGTTCTCTCCAGCAAATTGTTACAACTGACCTGTGAACTTCAAGAATGTCCAGGTTCATTACGGGCTGGCCTTCCAAGGTACGAAGCACTATAGTATTTCCATGCTAACTTGGCCCATAAGCCACGCCCCTCTTCTATAAAAATAGCTGATTGGATCAAAGAAAATGTTCATGTAGCTGTCCATTTATTCAAACTAAATATGTTCACAATTGGTAAGCAAACCTGTTGTACTGTGTACATTAGTACTGGTCTCTATAAACTCTTTTGATTCATATCACAGCTACATAACATCCAAACTCACTGCACTGTGGGAAACCTATGTTTTCTAGTGAGGAGTGTCACAGAAAACGGTAAACATTTGGAAGGGGTAATTCGTATGCTGATAGTATTAAGGGAGAACTCAAGGTACCTATATGATGATTGGGAAGGCCCAATTGATCCGGACTAGTGGACTACCGGTATAGTGAATAAGTGTGACCGGGTCTGAAGGTTATGGTATTTACGTCTGTGTACAATTAGTAAACAGAGCTACCTCAGGTATCAGATGAAAATATATGAGAACAATGATCTGGGAATAGAATAAATGTATCAAACATATGTGAAGTGTTGGGGGTTGAACCATAAACTATACTACAAGGAAAATATCTTATGTACCTCGGTATGAGCGTAATACACGTCATTACCTCAGGTGACAAATAGTTATGAACAGTGTAATGATTCTAGAACCTTGTGAATGTGTTAAACAATTGCAAAAAGTGGGGGAATGAACCGTACATAGGGAATAAAGTGAAGTGGATATACCCAAGCCAAACACCAAGGCCTTTTCTCTCGCTGGAGCCTAAACCACCTGCGGCTACAGTTTTGAGGTAATGAGATATACGAAGTAATTTACCCAAATCTGACATATCAGACACTTACTGTAATATGTAATTTAGAATTAAGGTATGTAACTATAAGGCATAAAATCACAATATATAAGAAAGTGTATGTGTGGGGGCCAGAATAAAGACATGGCGAAATTTAAGCATTGGCACTCTTAGGCCTATTCAGTGTGCGGCACGGAGGCTTGTCCTCAGTGACGCTCCACATCTCATACATGCAGGTCAGTACACTACAGGTAGTGTTACATCAGAGTACTAAAAGAGGCATACCTAGCATTTTATATACATCTTAAAGCCTTTCCTAATGTTATTGTTAATATAATAAGTTAATTAATAGGTTAAGTTAATCAATAGAATTATAATGATGTGTGTTAATACAAAGGCCCATCAGGCCAGTAAACACATTTGTTTATGTTCAGTGACGCTCAACATCGCATACACGCAGATGTTAGGTGTACCGCCTGTGAGCGGAAGGAGACCAGTGAAGTCGGAGGGAATGCTTGGCCCAGCAACCACTGTTCTACTATGAGGAACCCACCTGGTGTTGTGGATAATGGTTAGGGCAGCTATGCAACTTCCATTATGGATCTATGGACATCTCACAATTCAGCAACATGGATGTGAAGAGATGTTGGTGCTTACTGTCGCTGCTTTAAGCAACCTAATGCTACCAAATGCAGAATAATCCTGGAATAAATACCTGGGAAAGATCTCATCTACCTAACAAGAGTAGAATGTGAGACAGGTACCTGCTGTGTGTACTTTGGTGCTAAGAATGAGCTGTAGTACCTGTATGTATTGTGTGTATTATTGAATGTTCCTTATTCAGGTGATATTGGGTACCGGTATGTTGGTGCAATTGAATATTGTGGCTGATATTGGGGAAGGAATGACCTAGGTAAGGAGGTCAATGATTTTGTATGGAGAGAGAAGACCTGAATTAATTATTTGGAGAAAGTCGGGTATTTTTGTGGGGTGCAGTGACCTTAATAATTGCTTGGGGAAGGTCAACTATTTTTGTATTGTGACTGAATGCAATGTTTTTTTATTTGGAAATAAAGTAGCTAAATTCTTGGTTGGTGTTTCACTCTTCCTTCCACTCTCAACTGATTAATGAAAAACACAAACTCACAGTGCCTGGATTGCTCTGCCAGCTACCTAAAGAACACTCCCTATACTGTCCTGTGGTCTGGTAGCAGCGACCTTAAGTTAAGAAGAAAGTTAAGAAAACCCTAGGATTAAGTGACCACACTAAAGGACAGTGTACTGTACTGTTATTCTCTAAGATAATGTTAAATATCTGGACTATCAAAATGCAAATGATTTCAAGGCATTAGCACTTCAGAGAGGATGTTAGAAAATTGCAAATATTTATTATAAGAGGTAAAATCAAAGATGAAATTCACTTTCGAATGAAGTCTTTTCATTACAGTGGTCCCTCGGTTCACAAACGGTTCGATTAACAAATTTTCGGTTAAAGAATTACCTCCCATAAGGATCTTCAATTTGGTTAACGAACAAAACTTCAATTAACGAAATCCTTACGACAAACACGTTTTGTTGTGAGCATCAGCTGATCAGCTGATGGGCTAGTCTGCCAATTCAGTAATCTGTTCTATGTTTACATTTGTTTCTAGTGGAGTAAATATCAAGAAAATTGTGCTCTTCAATATTTGTGCATTTTTTATATTAAAATTATTGGTCATTCTATAATTTAGCCAACCAAGCTCTGTCTACATAAAGTTTTTCAACTATTATTTTTGGCTCGATATACTATGTAACTTTATTCATTTATTGAAACTCATTTACATGCACACACTGTCCTAAGGGCAAGGCTGTACTGTACATGTAATCAAAATAATGTACAAAATGATTTCTAAAATTTTTGTCTTGTGCAAACTATGGCATGTTTACATTCAAATTAATCACTATTTTATAAGAATTCCAGCAATGTAAATTATATTCTCCCCGGTCACTTCTATGACAATTTATAAGCAAAAGACAAAAACTCAATCTAAAGGATATAAACAAACAAATAAATACTTCACTAGACCTTCAGCGGTAACTGTCAAACACATCACTGTCACCCCTCCCTCCCAGCAAGGGTTTGGTGGTTATACAGTAGGCTTTAACTTTTTATCTTATATAATATCACAGACTAAAGTTAGGAAAATATAATTTGCATTGCTGGAATCCTTGCAAGACAGTGAATAATTTGAATATAAAAGTAATATATTTTGCACAAGAGATAAAAATTTTAGTAGATTAGTTTAGTACATTTTAGTAATGTAAAGTTTTCAATTGTATTTTTGGGTAGATTTACATAAATTTCTCCATTTATTTTCATTCATTTACATGCACACACCATACTAAAAGAAACGTAAAAGAAATAAATGACCTAAGTGCAAACCTGTACTGTACATGTACTAAATGATTATGGTACTAAAATTGTTATGTCCAGTGCAAATTATAGCTTGTTTATACTCAAATTAATCACTATCTTATAAGAATCCCAGCAATGTAAATTATATTCTCCCAGGTCATTTCACTGGCATTTTAAAATGAGAGAAGCTTAATCACTTAAGGACTGTTAAATAAACACACATGAGACGTTCCACTCCAACTGTCAAACATATCACCTCACCTCCTGCTCGCTCCCTCCCTCTCCCCCAGCCAGGGTTTTAGGCTTACAGTTTTTATCTTATACAATATCTCAGACTAAAGTTAGGAGAATATAATTTGCATTGCTGGAAGCCTTGCAAGACAGCAAATAATTTGAATATAAACGTCATATATTTTGCACAAGTGATAAAAATTAATAACCTGAATCACATTACTGTACAGTAGTGATTTAAGAGTAAGAGTGTATATATATATATATCTGTGCCATAGTATTCTATTACAAGCTCTACCGTACTGGCAGTAC